CGGTAAATAATTGCCATGTTTTGTTGACATGGAAACCCTAATAATTGGCTGTGTTGGGTGGTGGCGGGTTTTACGACACATTCACGCGATCTAACCCAAACCACCTCTGTTATGGTACAACAGTCTCTCTGTTAATTTCGTTATTTTACGAAGTGTTCTTTTTTTCCAGTTGGGACCCAGATGAGTGACTCCCCGCAAAAGATGCTCTCCAACGCCTGTAGATGACGGGGTAGCAGCAGCAGACACCGATGACCCTTGCGGGCCGAAAGAGGAACCGGTTGCTGACGCCTTGATAGGATGTCACGATGATTCTCAAAGGAAGAGGATCCCAACCGAAATTCAGACGCAAAAGAACGTGGCACTTTCTGCGCAAACTCTTTAAAACGTCTCTGCAGTTGTTGTGGAGGCCGTGCTGAGTTTGACGACGCACGGCCACGCGGTAGCAAACACACCGCTTCCTCATCCCACCCACTACCAGCTGCACCCGCAGCCATCCAGAACATTCCTCCAATGCACATAAGCAGCTGCTTGCTATCATCATTAATTCGACCATCATCCACTTCCAGGCAACAGCTGGAGGCCCCCACTTGTCCAGACCCCCCCACCCATTCATCCGTGCCCCCACCCATCCAGACCCCCACCCATCCGGACCCCCACCCATCCAGACCCCCACCCATCCGGACCACCACCCATCCGTGCCCCCACCCATCCAGACCCCCACCCATCCAGACCCCCACCCATCCAGACCCCCACCCCTCCGGACCCCCACCCCTCCGGACCCCCACCCCACCGGACCCCCACCCATCCGGACCCCCACCCATCCGTGCCCCCACCCATCCAGACCCCCACCCATCCAGACCCCCACCCCTCGGGACCCAAGTTAAATGTGCAGGGAGTCCTCGACTTATGAACACAATTTGTTCCCGAGACCCGTTCGTAAGTAGGAACACAACGTAATTGTTTCCAGTATATATGATTTAATACGTTTCACTGGTCAGTGATTTGGGTAGTAGGAAAGCGCTATATAAAATAAATGCATTATTATTAAATGCCCATATGGTCAGCGTGATGAAATGTGTTGCGTTCCCACAGAAAATGGAAGCCTTGTTACACTCATAAGAATAAATATTGTACACGTGCATGTTTAACAATGTAATACATATTGTATGGTGAATAAAACATAAAATAAAGTGATACGAATCGAACACAAAAGTTGTGTTTTCACTTGCCTCGAGTCCCGATGCTGAGTTACCACTTGGCAGAGGTCGCAACCGGGTACCCGATACCCGTACCCTACCCGATACCCGGCTACCCGTACCCAGCCGGGTACGGGTACCCGTTTGCGACCCTGGTGCGGCCGGGTACGGGTAGGCCGTGAGTCACTGGTGGGTAACTGTCACTCATTTCCCAACGTCTTGTCTCTTCTCACAATTCAAGTTCCTAGAATCAACCCAACCGCGCCTGCAACATGGCTTTCATCCCAGAGGTCGCAATCAGGTACCCGTACCCTACCCGTACTCAGCCGGGTACGGGTAGGGTACGGGTACCTGTTTGCGACCCTGGTGCGGCCGGGTACGGATGAGGAATCAAAACCCGTTTGCGACCTCTGCCACTTGGTTCTGGCCACACCACCCCTCGAGGTCTGCATCGGCCCTTCATCGGCATTCCTCGCTCACAGAAATAAAATGTGTGGGCTCCTCACACAATCCAGCCAGGTTAAACCCAGGATGGATCGTAGGCAGACCAGCCTAAATGTTTCTAACCGCCGAAGATGTTCCATTCGGGGGGTCCACGTTTCGCAAGCGTAGAGAAGGGATGGCATGACTGTGGCTGAGAAGACTTGAAGCTTCGTGCGGAGCGACAGACCAGGTAGCTTCCACACAGCGTTACGCAACCGATGAAAATATATTGCCGCTCGACTGATTCGGAGTGAGACCTCTGCTGTCAAACCGGAGCCCGTCATGAGCACACTGCCCAGGTATGGGAAACTCTCCACTCTCTCCACAACTGCCCCATCACCGATTGGGAGTTGTGGGGGTGGAGTGTCCGATGGTACAAAATACCCAGGCAGGTGCTTAGTTTTGGTGGGGCTGATGGTCAGGCCCCACCTCTTAGTGGCACGCTCCAGGTTCAGCAACAGCGCCTCCAACTCCTCCTCTGAATGAGCAGCTATCACCCAATCATCGGCATACATAACGTGGTTGACCAATAGGGAGCCATCCCTTGACCGCACCCGGGCATCAATCAGCCTCCAATTGTATCTGTACCAAATGGAAATTCCTCTGGTGCAGCTATCGAAGGCTTCACGAATCCATATCTTTATCATCCCATCACCACCACCTTCACCCCCATCACCACCAACTTCATCAGCATGCACCAGTTGCATAATACAGGCGGCCCCCGCTGTTACGTTACAATTCGTTCATGGAAAAGCCGTTGTCGTAAATCGGATCGTCATAAAACCGGACCCCTATTTTTTCCTATAGACAGTAAAAACATCACTTGCTTGATGTGTGTTTTCCCTTGCATTGGCCGTATTTAACAGGATTTATTAGGTAAACATCCACACAAACACTCGAGAATAACAAAAGCTCAACACCAAAGTCACATCAGAGACACGTCGGAAGATGCGTCGTAAAATCAAGTTTCTGCGTCGTAAATGGATCCACGATGGCGTTACATAAACGCTGTGAATGTGGACCGCAGTAAACCAGAGACCGCCTGCATTTCGACCAATCACAAACAATCGATTCCGACTTACAAACGGAAACGTCACCGCGCGTGTAAAGAAACAACTTTAATAAAACATCACATGATCGTCACGTGTCGGTTACGCGCGAGACACAGAGCGGTGGCGCAGTGGTTAGCGCCTCGCGCTCCGAACCCGCTGACTTTGAACTCAATCCCGGCCATCCGTGCCCGCAAAAAGTAACCTGCAGCGCCACACCTATAACCATCAGTAGGGGAAAAAACGGTGATCCAATCTCCGACCCCCAGGAACAGGTTTGCAGATTTGCTGAGCATTTCTGTGAGGTCCTGGGGGAGGGGAAATCCCTCAGCCAGGAAAACATCATGGCACAAAGTGGGGATATAACCCTGCTGAGGCTGCGGTGCCTCAAATATTGGAAGAGGTCACCCCCTGTGAGTGGCTGGCTGAGGTGCCATCTGTTGAGGAAGTACTGAAGGCGATCCTGAGTCTGAGACCAGGAAAGGCACCGGGCAGAGATGATCTCCCAAGCGAAATGATGATAGTGATTCTGGCCAACATCAACGGTGAGCGAAGAAACCCGAACCGATCCTGGGAACCCACCTCTCACCATTCTCCTGCCAGCACTGACCAGCGCGGTGAAGCATGGCTACCGCTGCCTTCATCTAGCAGTGCATCGACCAAGGCTCGTAAATCATCACTATCACTGACTACTCCACAGAGGATTCTTGCTTCTGGAAATAACTTTTTTTTGCGCCTTAAAAACAATCCGTGACTCAGAAGGGTGCTCAGCAATCTGCGGAAACAGATTTTGGATTCTTGTATCCATCCGTGTGGCGCTTTTCAACGTCACCCACTCGTATACAGCGCGGAGGGATTCCTCCGGGCTCCCGGGACGCGCGTGTCATTTCCCGTGATCCTAAACCACCGCTCCTAAAACTCCACAATCGTTTAAAATCATTCTCCACAAATTTGCACTTTTGAAACAAACAACCTCTTTCGATTTAAAGCTTTGGCGACTGCAGGGATTCCTATTCTTGGTTCTTTCCCTTCTACGTGACTTTACCAAAAGAACCAAGAATATAAAACAACCTCTCGTCGCCACACGTGTCAAAATGTCATCCTCCGTTGTCCTTCCCCCACAACCTCCGATGCGAAAGAACGTCAACGTACGTACAACATGTTTGCCGTCATTGCCGTGATCCTCAGTCGTGATCAATTCACCGCTGGATGAAGGCCTCCCCACCGGGCCACCAATCCACGTGCCGATTCCATCGCTCCATCTCCCCCGTTGACGTGCCCCAGAATGCACTCCGTTCCGCACCCACTATGCCTGTGATTTATCCTTGGAACATTTAACAACCTCCCTCCACCCCCCCAACAATGAAACACACACAGCTCCACATGTGACGCAATTAATTGTTCAACAAGGGCACCACGGTGGCTAGGAGATGTTAACTACCTCGCCTGGTGTGCAGGAGGTCGTGGGTTCGATCCCAACCTTGACGACGCCTGCTGCTGTATATTTGGAGTTTGCGTCTCTCTCTCATCATCATCACGGTGGCTAGGAGATGTTGACTACCTCGCCTGGTGTGCAGGAGGTCGTGGGTTCGATCCCAACCCTGACGCCTGCTGCTGCTGTATATTTGGAGTTTGCGTCTCTCATCATCATCACGGTGGCTAGGAGATGTTAACTACCTCGCCCGGTATGCAGGAGGTCGTGGGTTCGATCCCAACCCTGACGACGCCTGCTGCTGTATATTTGGAGTTTGCGTCTCTCTCCCTCTCCCCGTCACGCAGATCTTTCTCCGGATCCTCCGCTTTTCCCCTCCACATTTAGAATCAACATCCCGCGTTCAGAGTATTAGACTGCCTGAAATTTCCACGCGATAAGCCACTTGGCTGAGCTATCATTTGCGGCCGGGTTGCTGCTGAGAAAGCGCTAGCGGGCCTTGCCTGGTGAAGTAAAAACAGTAAAATAGATTTGATTTTAGCGAAAGCACCAACTCCATAGGATTCTCGCTAAAGCCACGGTCAATTCATCGTCGACGTTAATGGAAGAGTGTTGCATGCGACTGGCCGCTGGCCACTTTCCCCGCACCTCCGTTAAGCGCCGTTGGCTACGCTCGGCGCTAAATAATGTCAACGTCCAAACACGAACATGTACGATTTCAAGATACACACAAGCATACGTGCGGCCGTGTGAAGCAGCAGTATAACCCTTGTGGGAGGGGAGGCGGGGGGGGGGGGGGGGGACGCTATCCGGCAGTGCGCGTAGCTATGGACTGGGGGGGGGGGGGGGTGGGTGTAAATCCACTGCTTTAGAGAATTCAACACTACTACGATCCAGACACCATCACTATCATCTCGACTCCCCTGCCACCACCACCACCACCACGGCAGTGGTACCGGGCTAAGCCGAGCCCGTGGTCCCGGGCTCCGATTTGGGCACCGCTGAGCCCGTCCCACCAGGCGCCGTCCCCAAAGCCGTGCCGACACCGCCAACGGCACCGCCAACGCCACCGCCGGCAGCGGCCGTCACCCCCGCCACCGTCACCGTCACGGCGTTGCTCGTGGCTCCTCCTGCTGCTGCTCCTGCTGCCGGTCCCGGCGCACCCGGCTTGCGCAGCACCACCATGGGCTGGCCGTCGACGCCCTCCTGCTTGACGGCGATGAGCTGCGGCACGCTGCCGCCGGCACCGCCCCTCGCCGCGACGCCCAGCGAGGACGACGCCCCCGCCGGCGCCGGCGTCACCGGCTTGCCGGTCACGTCGAGCGACGAGGAGGAGGGCGACGAGGAGGACGAGGAGGAGGAGGGCATCACCGAGACGGTGATGCCCGGCGCCAGCTTCTGGCTGGGCGCGAGCAGCTTCACCACGGTGGGCGTGCCGCCGGCCGTCGCCATCGTGGCCGACAGGGACGAGGACAGCGAGGAGGCGGTGGCGGGTGACGAGATGGAGGAGGGCGACGAGGTGGAGGAGGACATCGGCAGGATCTGCGGGGGGAGAAGCCGGGAGGGTTTTTTTTCCGTGGTGGAGGAGCGTTTGTCTGTGTGGGTGCTCGCTAACAGCACTTGCCCCAACAGTCGATTAAGGCTATACGGGAAATCGTTGCCTTTGTTTTTTGTGCACGTAGCAACATCATCATCATCAACGTCGTCGTCATTATTCTATCATCTTCAATAGATTATCATCATCGTCCTAATTTATCCATGGCCACTAGCAACAGCAGCATCAACATTATCGAGTGTGTTTGTGTGCACGTGTGCTAACAGCACTTGGCCCAACAGTCTCTGAAGGCTATCACGGGGGATCTTTGTCTTTGTGTGCGTACGCGCGAGAGTCTCGCTTGGTCCTGGGTCCTCCCCTAGGTTGACTCAGCTTCAAATGAGTACATCTGGTGCGGTGGTGTGTAAACACGAGCACTGGGGAGACAAAGGCGGTTGGGCGTGGTTCTGGCCACCCAACCCCTTGTGTGCCGTGCCGGCCTTCATAGGTGCTACTCGCTAAAAGCACTTGCCCCTACAGTCTGTTAAGGCTATAAAGGGGATTTTGCCTTTGTTGTCTGTGTGCACACGTGTCTCTGTGTGCACACGTGTCTGTGTGCACACGTGTCTGTGTGTGTCTGTGTGTACACGTGTGTCTGTGTGTGTCTGTGTGCACACGTGTGTCTGTGTGCACACGTGTCTCTGTGTGTGTCTGTGTGTGTACGTGTGTCTGTGTGTGTCTGTGTGCACACGTGTGTCTGTGTGTGCACGTGTGTCTGTGTGTCTCTGTGTGTCTCTGTGTGTGTCTGTGTGTGTCTGTGTGTACACGTGTCTGTGTGTGTCTGTGTGTACACGTGTCTGTGTGTGTCTGTGTGTGTGATCACCTGTGTGGGGCCGGTGGGGGCCGACACGACGATGAACTTGGGGGGCAGCCCAGACGCGTCGCTGGCCCCCTGCAGGGACGTGGAATAGAGCCCCCCCCCTGAGCCTGGCACCTTGATGATGGTGGAGGAGCGGGGGGGCAGCGCCGTCTGGGGGCTCGCGAGAGAGTGAGGGGCACCGATGGCGCCACGCACCTGGGGGGTGGGCACAGCAGCAACGTCAGCAACGTCGTCGTCATCAACACATCGTCATCGTGATCAAACTACCCATCATCATCGTCGTCGTCGTCCATACAGCGTCACAACTTGCAGGCGAGTGAAGTGGTGGCGGGATTCAGCCGAGTACAGTGCTGTTCACGTGATGGCGGTGAGTGAAGGTGAGCGTGGAGCGGTTGTCGGGGTTACGACGTGGGGACTGAGGTGAGGGTGGTGAGTTTGAAGCTGCTCACCTGTGGGTGAGTGAAGGTGAGCGTGGAGCGGTTGTTGGGGTCACGATGGAGGGGACTGAGGTGAGGGTGGTGAGTTTGAAGCCGCTCACCTGCGGGTGAGTGAAGGTGAGCGTGGAGCGGTTGAGCTGCAGGCCCTGAGAGGAGGAGGAGGAGGAGGAGCTGACCTGCACGCGGGCCTTGGTGACGTGGGTGCACAGCAGGGGGCCCAGGTGCCCATAGTCCGCCTTGTAGGCCTCGGCGCTGTCGGGGCCCGGACGCAGCTTCACCAGCACCGGCGCGCAGTGCTTCTGTGGATCACAAAGCGCAGCCGCGTCACCACCGATGTACCGCCAACACCACACCGCTGTAGCACCAACACCACACCGATGTGCCGCCAACACCACACCGCTGTAGCACCAACACCACACCGCTGTACCACCAACACCACACCGCTGTACCACCAACACCACACCGCTGTACCACCAACACCACACCGCTGTACCGCCAACACCACACCGATGTACCGCCAACACCACACCGCTGTACCACCAACACCACACCGCTGTACCACCAACACCACACCGCTGTAGCACCAACACCACACCGCTGTACCACCAACACCACACCGCTGTACCACCAACACCACACTGATGTACCGCCAACACCACACCGCTGTAGCACCAACACCACACCGCTGTACCACCAACACCACACCGCTGTAGCACCAACACCACACCGCTGTACCACCAACACCACACCGCTGTACCACCAACACCACACCGCTGTACCACCAACACCACACCGCTGTAGCACCAACACCACACCGCTGTAGCACCAACACCACACCGCTGTACCACCAACACCACACCGCTGTACCACCAACACCACACCGCTGTAGCACCAACACCACCACCAACACCACACCGCTGTACCACCAACACCACACCGCTGTACCACCAACACCACACCGCTGTAGCACCAACACCACCACCAACACCACACCGCTGTACCACCAACACCACTGTACCACCAACACCGCTGTACCACCAACACCACACCACCACCACCACCATCATCATCCACTACCGCCCCTTACAACAAAGATCCCCCGTATAGCCTTAACAGACTGTATAGGTATTATATTCTTGGTTCTTTCGGTAAAGTCACATAGAAGGGAAATAAAATAATATAAATATAAAACAATAAAAAATAAAAATTGTATACGGGCAAGTGCTGTTAGCGAGCACCTATGAAGACCTGAACGGTACACGAGGGGGTGGGTGGCCAACACCACGCCCGACCGCCTTTGTCTCCCCAGTGGCGATGTTTACACACCGCACCAGGTACTCATTTCAGGCTGAGTCGACCTAGGGGACGCCCAGGACCGGTTCAGATAATCGTCACTGGTGTTGGCCTTGAGCGGGAATCGAACCCGGATCGCCAGGTTCGTAGCGCAGCGCGCTAACCGCTACACTACCGCTCCCCACAACTACCGCCCCTCACACCACCACCGCCACACACACACAACAACAACCGCCATTCGCCACTAAGTGGCGGTGACATCACCACGACGCTTGTGCCAGGCCAAGTGCACCTTGAGGCCACGTGAAGTGTCGAACGCCCGCTGGCAGGAGGTCACGGGACAGACCCAGGTGCCACGGGTCGACTGACCGAGATGATTGAGATGACTGGCTGATGCACCACCTGTGCCCCCTACTGTGCCAACTTGCTGTGCTTTAGCCATCCGGCGCTCCCCGTGTGTGCACACACACACACACGCGCACACACACACACACGTACACACACACGCGCACACGCACACACACGCGCTCGTCTGACCAGCAGCAGCGTCTGCACGTGCTGCGCCCCGATCTTGTCGATGTTGCTGATCACCGGGCCCTCCAGCACCTGCCGGATGCGGTCACCCTCGGCGGGGAGACGCGGGATGACGAGCGTCTTGATCACCTGCGTGCGCACGCGGACAAAGAGGCCGTTGGGGCAAGTGCCGTTAGCGAGTAGCGGCGCCGGCGAGGCCGGCACGGCTCACGAGAGGGCGGGAGGCCAGCACCACGCCCGGCTGTCTTTGTCTCCCCAGTGGTGATGTTCACTACACACCGCACCAGCTACTCAAGTGAGGCTGTTGAGACGACAGTAGTGTGTAGTGTATAGTGTAGTGTATAGTGTAGTGTATAGTGTAGTGTATAGTAGTGTAGTGTATAGTAGTGTAGTGTATAGTAGTGTGTAGTGTATAGTAGTGTAGTGTATAGTAGTGTAGTGTATAGTAGTGTATTGTATTGTATAGTGTATAGTAGTGTAGTGTATAGTAGTGAGTAGTGTATAGTAGTGTATAGTAGTGTAGTGTATATTGGTGTAGTGTATAGTAGTGTAGTGTATAGTCGTGTAGTGTATAGTAGTGTAGTGTATAGTAGTGTAGTGTATAGTAGTGTGTATAGTAGTGTATAGTAGTGTAGCGGTATATAGTGTATAGTGTATAGTAGTGTAGTGTATAGTAGTGTATAGTATATAGTAGTGTAGTGTATAGTAGTGTAGTGTATAGTAATGTGTAGTGTATAGTAATGTGTAGTGTATAGTAGTGTAGTGTATAGTAGTGTAGTGTATAGTAATGTGTAGTGTATAGTTGTTTGTATGTGTGTACGCATGTTGACCATCTGTCGCACCGTACGTAGCCAATCGGTGGTGCAGCATCAGAAACCGGGGTTGGGGGGTTGAGGGGGGGGGTTGAGGGGGGGGGCTGAGGGGGGAGGGGCTCACGTCGAAGCCGAGCTCGGCCAGGCCCGCGATGCAGCCGTAGCGTGTGGTCCACGGCGTCTTGTCGTCGTGCAGACTCTGCGAGACACAGAGTTACACAAAGTCAAAAGATCCCCCCCCGGATAGCCCTGATGGCCTGCTGGGGCAAGTGCTGCTAGCAAGCACGGCACACGAGGGGGTGGGTGGCCGGCACGATGGCAGAGCACCTTTGTATCCCCGCCGCTAGCAACAAGCAACACACACGGACAGTTGGTGCACTTGGATATGAGAGTTGCGCATTTATAAATTAACTCACTTAACAAAGGTCCCTCCGTGTAGCCTTAACATACTTGTGGGGGCAAGTGCTGTTTGCGAGTAGCACCGATGAAGACCGGCACGGCACACGAGGGGGTGGGTGGCCAGCACCACGCCCGGCCGCCTTTGTCTCCCCAGTGTCGATGTTTACACACCACACCAGGTACTCATTTGAGGCCGAGTCGACCTAAGCGGAGGCCCAGGACCAGTTCAGATAATCGTCACCGATTTTGGTGGCCATGAGTTGGGAATCGAACTCGGGTTTCTGGGTTCCTCACGAGAGAGGATTTTGTATGATCTCCCCCTGTTCTACAGAGTGAGTGAGTGGAGTTTGTATGATATCCCCCAGTAATGGCAGCGTGTGAGTGAGTGTAGTTTGCATGATCTCCCCTGTTCTACAGAGTGTGTGAGTTAGTGGACTTTGTGTGATCTACCCTGTTCTACAGAGAGTGTGAGTGAGTGTACTTTGTATGATCTCCCCCTGTTCTACAGAGTGAGTGAGTGAGTGTAGTTTGCATGATCTCCCCCTGTTCTACAGAGTGTGTGAGTGGAGTTTGTATGATCTCCCCCTGTTCTACAGAGTGAGTGAGTGGAATTTGTATGATCTCCCCTGTTCTACAGAGTGTGAGTGAGTGGAGTTTGTATGATCTCCCCCTGTTCTACAGAGTGTGAGTGAGTGGAGTTTGTATGTTCTCCCCCTGTCCTACAGAGTGTGAGTGAGTGGAGTTTGTATGATATCCCCCAGTAATGGCAGCGTGTGAGTGAGTGTAGTTTGCATGATCTCCCCTGTTCTACAGAGTGTGTGAGTTAGTGGACTTTGTGTGATCTACCCTGTTCTACAGAGAGTGTGAGTGAGTGTACTTTGTATGATCTCCCCCTGTTCTACAGAGTGAGTGAGTGAGTGTAGTTTGCATGATCTCCCCCTGTTCTACAGAGTGTGTGAGTGGAGTTTGTATGATCTCCCCCTGTTCTACAGAGTGAGTGAGTGGAATTTGTATGATCTCCCCCTGTTCTACAGAGTGAGTGAGTGTACTTTGTATGATCTCCCCCTGTTCTGCAAGGTGTAAGTGGAGTTTGTGTGATCTCCCCCTGTTCTACAGAGTGTGAGTGAGTGGAGTTTGTATGATCTCCCCCTGTTCTACAGAGTGTATGAGTGAGTGGAGTTTGTATGATCTCCCCCTGTTCTACAGAGTGTGAGTGAGTGTAGTGTGTATGATCTCCCTCTGTTCTACAGAGTGGGAGTGAGTGGAGTTTGTATGATCTCCCCCTGTTCTACAGAGTGTGTGAGGGAGTGTAGTTTGTATGATCTCCCCCTGTTCTGCAGGGTGAGAGTGAGTGGAGTTTGTGTGATCTCCCCCTGTCTTACAGAGTGTGTGAGTGAGTGGAGTTTGTATGATCTCCCCCTGTTCTGCAGGGTGAGAGTGAGTGGAGTTTGTGTGATCTCCCCCTGTTCTACAGAGTGTGTGAGTGAGTGGAGTTTGTATGATCTCCCCCTGTTCTACAGAGTGTGTGAGGGAGTGTAGTTTGTATGATCTCCCCCTGTTCTGCAGGGTGAGAGTGAGTGGAGTTTGTGTGATCTCCCCCTGTTCTACAGAGTGTGTGAGTGAGTGGAGTTTGTATGATCTCCCCCTGTTCTACAGAGTGTGTGAGGGAGTGTAGTTTGTATGATCTCCCCCTGTTCTGCAGGGTGAGAGTGAGTGGAGTTTGTATGATCTCCCCCTGTTCTACAGTGTGAGTGAGTGGAGTTTGTGTTATCTCCCCCTGTCTTACAGAGTGTGTGAGTGAGTGGAGTTTGTATGATCTCCCCCTGTTCTACAGAGTGTGTGAGTGAGTGGAGTTTGTATGATCTCCCCCTGTCCTACAGAGCGTGTGAGTTAAGTTTGTATGATCTCCCCCTGTCCTACAGAGTGTGAGTGTGTGAGTGGAGTTTGTATGATCTCCCCCTGTCCTACAGTGTGAGTGAGTGGAGTTTGTATGATCTCCCCCTGTTCTACAGTGTGAGTGAGTGAGTGGAGTTTGTATGATCTCCCCCTGTTCTACAGTGTGAGTGAGTGAGTGGAGTTTGTATGATCTCCCCCTGTTCTACAGTGTGAGTGAGTGAGTGGAGTTTGTATGATCTCTACCTGGTCAACAGAGTGTGTGAGTGAGTATAGTTTGTATGATCTCCCCCTGTCCTACAGAGTGTGTGAGTGGAGTTTGTATGATCTCCCCCTGTCCTACAGAGTGTAAGTGAGTGAGTGGAGTTTGTATGATCTCCCCCTGTCCTACAGAGTGTGAGTGAGTGAGTGAGTGGAGTTTGTATGATCTCCCCCTGTTCTACAGAGTGTGAGTGAGTGTAGTTTGTATGATCTCCCCCTGTCCTGAGTGTGTGTGAGTGCGTGGAGTTTGTGTGATCTCCCCCTGTCCTACAGAGTGAGTGAGTGCGTGGAGTTTGTATGATCTCCCCCTGTCCTACAGAGTGTGTGAGTGCGTGGAGTTTGTATGATCTCCCCCTGTCCTACAGAGTGTGTGAGTGCGTGGAGTTTGTATGATCTCCCCCGGTACTGCAAAAGTGTGAGTGGAGTTTGTATGATCTCCCCCTGTTCTACAGAGTGTGTGAGTGGAGTTTGTATGATCTCCCCCTGTCCTACAGAGTGTGTGAGTGAGTGAGTGGAGTTTGTATGATCTCCCCCTGTCCTACAGAGTCAGTGTGAGTGAGTGGAGTTTGTATGATCTCCCCCTGTCCTACAGAGTGTGAGTGAGTGGAGTTTGTGTGATCTTCCCATGTCCTAGAGAGTGTGTGGGAGAGTGGAGTTTGTATGATCTCCCCCTGTCCTGCAAGAGTGTAAGTGTGGGACCCTCCTAAAACCCTCGAGACTTTGCGAGGCCTCTGCCGGGTCCACGGAGCGCAACGGAGACGGCAAAGGAGGCGATGAGCACCTTCACGAAGGTCTTGGTCGAGCGGGACTGGATGTTGTTCGTCGTGGAGCTGAAGTTCTTGCAGATCTGCGCCATGAGGCGGGCGGCAAAGTCGCGCAGGGCCCAGTGGTTGTCCACGTCGGGGCGCAGGCAGAGCTGGCGGCTCACGATGCACGTCACCACCGCGGGGATCAGCTCGTGCAGCTGCACGAGACGGGGGACAACATCAAGACGAAAGAGTGGGCGGCGCGGTGGTGAGATGTTAACAAATCACCTGGTATGCAGGAGGTCGTGGGTTCGAGTGCGACGCTGATGCATGCTGTGTATTTGGGTCCTCCGGTTTTGATCTCCGCATTTAGAATCAAAACCGTGCGTTCAGAGCATTTGGCTGCGATATATTTCCACGAGATAAGCCACTTGATTGGGCTATTATTTGAGAAAAAAAGATCCCCGGTATAGCCTGTACCAGACTGTAGGGGCAAGTGCTGTTAGCGAGCACCTATGAAGGCCGGCAAGGCACACGAGGGGGTGGGTGGCCAGAACCACGCCCAGCCGCCTTTGTCTCCCTAGCGGCGATGTTTACACACCACACCGGGTACTCATTTGAGGCCGAATCGACCTAGGGGGAGACCCAGGATCGGTTCAGATAATCGTCACTGGTATTGGCGGCCATGAGCAGGGTTGCCAGGTGCGTAGTGAAGCGCACTAAACACTTTGCTACACATGCACAAACACGCACAGACATGCACAAACACGCACCGACATACAAATACAAAAATCCCCGGTGTTGCCGTTCAAAGGCTGTTGAAGTATACAAAGACAAAGATCCCCCTCATAGCCTCAACAAACAATTGGGGCAAGTGCTGTTGGCGAGTAGCACCAATGAAGACCGGCACACTGTGGCAGACGAGGGGTGGGTGGGTGGCCAGCACCACGCCTGATGCACGGAGCCACGGACACACAAAGCAACATCATCCTGCGCCCATCTTCGCGGGCGGCGTAGAACCACCGAGCGGTGCAGATTCCACGTTCCCATAGCCAGCACCGGTCTCTCCAATCTCCCACTGAGGAAGCAGTGTGGGAGCTGGGTGGTGGTGGGGCGGGGGGGTGTTCACACGAGCTCACGTATTTCTCCAGGTAGAGCGTCTGGTTGTCCAGCAGGGCCTTGGTCATCCTCATGAGGTAGATGAGCAGAGCCAGGTTGTTCTGAGCGACGTTAACGCGCACCTGCAGGGGCCGGGGGTAGTTCACAACGGCAGTGTCAGAGACAATGGTGATCCTGGGTTCCGGCCCGGAGCAGCCGAGGCTACTGCATGGCAAAGCTGAGTGAACTCACTCATACTCTTATGTTTTTTCGGTAAAGTCACGTAGGTAAAAAGAGAAAATTAAAAGTTAATTAAAGTAATAATGGAAATAAAATAAAATAATAAATCACGACGTTTCGGAGGCAACACAAGTCTCCGTCATCAGGTGGGACCGTCACAGCTAAAATTACTGCATCAAGTATTTAAGGGCTGGTCTTTTGGAATTTGTCCTCACTTGAAACAGTAAATTAGCTGTGACGGTCCCACCTGATGACGGAGACTTGTGTTGCCTCCGAAACGTCGTCATTTTTTTTTTAATTTCCATTATTACTTTTATTAACTTTTAATTTTATTTTTTTACCTACGTGACTTTACCGATAAAACCTAAGAGTATGAATCCTTGCAGTCACGAAAGCTTCAAATCTAGAATTGAACTCACTCCCTCAGAGATGAAGGTGCTGAAACGTGGCAGCATCTGGTACAGCCCCGGGTCGCTCGCGATGCTCTGCAGTGCTTCCTGTAACACACACAAAGACAAAGATCCACCGTGTAGCCTTAACAGAATGTTGGGACCAGTGTTGTTACAGAGCACCTATGAAGGCTGACACGGCACACGAGGGGGTGGGTGGCCAGCACCACGCCTTTGTATCCCCATTGGCGATGTTTACTACACACCGCACCAGGTACTCATTTGAGGCACGCACACATGACAAGAACAACAACCGCCATTCGCCACTAAGGGGCGGTGACATCACCACGGCGTCTGTGCCAGGCTATGTGCACGTTGAGGCCACGTGAAGTGTCGAAAGCCCGCTAGCAGGACGTCACGGGGCAGACCCAGGTGCCACGGGTCGACTGACTGAGATGACTGAGATGACCGAGATGACTGGCTGATGCACCACCTGTGCCCCCTACTGTGCTAACTTGCTGTGCTTTAGCCACCCGGCGCTCCGCTCGTTGTTGTGAGCGTCGCTCCTCCGCCCTCCGTTGTTGTTGGAGGGCGACTGCCTCCAACTGCCCAGTAGCGTCCTTCACGAGCTTTCTCTACAGAGCCCGATCTTGACACCGCTGGTACCAGTCATCGGCAAGTCCACTCAGCTCCACGTCCTCTTGTACCACATCACTCCATCTCTTCTCTAGCCCGTGCAGCGCCAATTTAGCCCCCTCTATCCGGCCAAACAAAAGCTGTTTAGGCATGAGGTAACTGGGCATGCGGGCTACATGACCCAGTCAAAGCAGCTTTGCCTGCCGGAGGAGGTCACCGATGGAACTTTGTCCAGATCTTTCAAGGATTTGTGAGCTCCTCACACAATCCAGCCTGGTTAAACCCAGGATGGATTGTAGGCAGGCCAGCCTAAATGTTTCTAACCGGTGAAGATGTTCCATTAGGGGGGTCCACGTTTCGCAAGCGTCAAGAAGGGAGGGAATGACTGTGGCCGAGAAGACCTGAAGCTTCGTGTGGAGCGACAGACCAGGTAGCTTCCACACAGCGTTATGCAACCGATGAAAAGATAACGCCTCTCGACTGTTTCGGAGTGAGACCTCTGTTGTTAAACTGGAGCCAGTCATGAGCACACTGCCCAGGTGTGTGAAACTCTCCACTCTCTCCACAACTGCTCCATTATAAATTGGGAGTGGTGGGGGTGGAGTGTCCGATGGTACAAAATACCCAGGCAGGTGCTTAGTTTTGGTGGGGCTAATGGTAAGGCCCCACCTCTTAGTGGCACGCTCCAGGTTCAGTAGCAGCGCCTCCAACTCCTCCTCTGAGTGAGCAGCAATAACCAAATCATCGGCATACATAACATGGTTGACTAATAGGGAGCCGTCTGTTGACTGCACCCGGGTATCGATCAGCCTCCCATTGTATCTGTACCAGATAGAAATTCCTCCGGTACAGCCATGGAAGGCTTCACTAACTACGTGGTCGAAACAAATGTTAAATAATGCGGGAGCCAGAGGACATCCCTGTCGCACCCCAAGGTGAAGAGGGAATGGCTCAGACTCCCGGTGACGTAGTTTTGTCCGGGCCCGCTCACCATCATGAAGGTCCTTAATGATTGTGAGCAGAGTCAGGGACTCCGAAAGCACGAAGAACCCAGAGCCTAGGTCTACTGATGGTATCATAGGCCTTGACCAGGTCAACAAGACAGAGATGTAGGTCTTGTTGGAATTCCCTACACCTCTGCTGTAGCAGACTGACAGAAAATATGGCATCTGTGCAGGACCGCCCTTTCCTGAAACCGCATTGGGGCTCCGCAAGCCTCTCCTCAGCGTGCCTAGCAAGGCGATGTTGAATAATCCTTGCCAGGCCCTTTCCCGGCACACTGAGGAGTGAGATGCCCCTGTAGTTGTTGCAGTCTGTGCGGTCCCCCTTCTTAAAGAGGGAGACCACCAGGGCATCCTTCCAATCCTGCGGAACCCGTCCAGTGGTCCAGACTGTTGTTATGATGTCATGTAGGGCAGTCTGTGCATAAACGCTACCCTCCCTTAGCATTTCACTTGGGAGATCATCCCTGCCTGGTGCCTTTCCTGATCTCAACTTTGGATCGCCTTCAGTACTTCCTCAACAGATGGCACCTCAGCCAGCCACTCACAGGCGGTAACTCCCTCTTCCAATCTTGACTTAAAGCTTTCGTGACTGCAGGAATTAATATTCTTTGGGTCTTTCGGTAAAGTCACGCAGATAGGTTCAAAGATGACGACCACTTGTGTTGCGATCGAAACGTCGTAGTTTTTGTTATTTTCTTTGAACCTATCTAGGTGACGTCACCGAAAGACCCAAAGAATAGACTTCTTCCAATATTTGAGGCACCCCAGCCTCAGCAGGGTCATCCCCACTTGACCCCATGATGTTTTCCAGGCTGAGGGATTTCCCCCTCCCCCCCCCAAGACCTCAGAATTGCTCAGCAAATCTGCAAATCTGTTCCTGGGTGTCAGAGATTGGATCACCCTTCTTTCCCCAAATGATGGAGATAGGTGTGGTGTTGCAAGTTACTTTTTCGATGGCACTGAGGAAGATTCCATCTCCTCAGCAACTTATGTAGTCGGTTTTTTGTTTTTATTTGTGGATTTTTTTGTTTGTTTTGTTTTTATTTTTATTTTCTATCTACGTGACTTTACCGAAAGAACCAAAGAATATCGACACGGAGTCGTTTTTTGGTTTACAGCACAACGTTACGGTTCATGATCGATTGTAACCCTCCACCACCCGACACGGCCAATCAGTAAAAAAAGTGTCACCTTTTTCAAAGGACAAATTCACTTCTTTAGCCCACCGGTGTGTTGAAGAGAGAATCAACAGCATTAAAAAATTTGAGTAGCACGACGTTTCTCTGGTAATTACAATCAGCTTCATCGGGCAAGAATGGTGAAGCTCTCCTACTATCCAACTATGTGGCTATGCGGCTGCGTGGCTATCATCCGGCTATGTGGCAATCTGGTGGAGTGGCTATCCGGTGGTGTGGCAATCCGGCGGTGTGGATATCCGGTGGTGTGGCAATCTGGTGGAGTGGCTATCCGGTGGTGTGGCAATCCGGCGGTGTGGATATCCGGCGGTGTGGATATCCGGTGGTGTGGATATCCGGTGGTGTGGATATCCCGTGGTGTGGATATCCCGTGGTGTGGATATCCGGTGGTGTGCATATCCGGCGGTGTGGATATCCGGCGGTGTGGATATCCGGCGGTGTGGATATCTGGCGGTGTGGATATCCGGTGGTGTGGATATCCGGTGGTGTGGATATCCGATGGTGTGGCTATCCGGCGGTGTGGATATCCGGTGGTGTGGCTATCCGGTGGTGTGGCAATCCGGTGGTGTGGCTATCCGGTGGTGTGGCTATCCGGCGGTGTGGCTATCCGGTGGTGTGGCTATCCGGTGGTGTGGCAATCCGGTGGTGTGGATATCCGGTGGTGTGGCTATCCGGCGGTGTGGATATCCGGTGGTGTGGCTATCCGGTGGTGTGGATATCCGGTGGTGTGGATATCCGGCGGTGTGGATATCCGGCGGTATGGATATCCGGTGGTGTGGCTATCCGGTGGTGTGGATATCTGGTGGTGTGGATATCCGGTGGTGTGGATATTCGGTGGTGTGGATATCCGGTGGTGTGGATATCCAGTAGTGTGGCTATCTGGTGGTGTGGATATCCGGCGGTGTGGATATCCGGCTGCGCGTGTCACCGCTCGCTTGGACTCGCAGGAGCCGACGCAGGCCTCCGTGATCTCCTTGTAGTAGAGCTGCTGCTCCACGGAGAGCTCGTGCGTGGCACGCGCTTTCACGCGCACGGCGGCGCCCTCCGCAGGCACCTTCCTCTTGTCCTTGCCTGCGCGAGACGCGGCGGGAGACGGGGCAGAGGGGCAGCGCGGGCGCGTGGGAGACGGAGGGAGAGAGGGCATGGACGTATGGACGTTTGTACTCTAATAATAATAGTTAAATTTGTAACACGCGCAAATTTGCAGACGTAGTGGCCACAACTCAGAGGCGCGGAGCCAAGCTCAGAGTCGCTCGAAAGCGCGTGGTTGTAGAGGTGAGTTTTTAAGTGTCTCTTGAAGGAGGCGATTGAGGTGATGCTGCGAATGTGCAGAGGGGTGATATCGTTCCACACTGAAGTTCTTTCGCGCCGTACATAGCCAAGCCGTGCGATTCGGAAGTGCGAACAGACGTGGCGAGGGAGTAGGTGAGAGAGGCCTGGTGTTCGCGGGACTGAGGGTGTGAGTGGGAATCGAACTCGGGTCGCCGGGATTTGTAGAGCGGCGTGCTGACCCCAACCAAAATGCTCCCACCAAGACAAATAACCCCTGTATAGCCTCAAGAAACTTTATGGGGCAAGTGCTGTTAGCGAGCACCTATGAAGGCCGGCACGGCACACGAGGGGGTGGGTGGCCAGGATCATGCCCGGCCGCCTTTGTCTCCCCAGTGGCGATGTTTACACACCGCACCAGGTACTCATTTGAGGCCGAGTCGACCTAGGGGACGCCCAGGACCGGTTCAGATAATCGTCAGTGGTGTTGGCCGTGAGCGGGAATCAAACCCGTGTCGCCGGGTTCGTAGCGCAGCGCGCTAACCGCTACACTACCGCCCGCACACACACGCATGCTGACACACACACACACGCGCGCTGACACACACACGCGCGCTAACACACACACACGCGTGCTCACACACACACACACGCGTGCTCACACACACGCGTGCTCACACACACGCGTGCTCTCACACACGCGTGCTCACACTCACACACACACGCGTGCTCACACACACACACACGCGCGCTAACACACTCGCACACACACGCGCGCTAACACACTCGCACACACACGCGCGCTCACACACACGCGCGCTCACACACACACACGCGTGCTCATACTCACACACACACACGCGTGCTCACACTCACACACGCGTGCTCAAACTCACACACGCGTGCTCAAACTCACACACGCGTGCTCACACACACGCGTGCTCACACACACGCGTGCTCACACACACACGTGCTCACACACACACGTGTGCTCACACACACACACACTCACACGCGTGCTCACACACACACACTCACACGCGTGCTCACACACACACACTCACACGCGTGCTCACACACACACACACACACGTGCTCACACACACACACGTGTGCTCACACACACACACGCGTGCCCACACACACACGCGCTCACACACACACACGTGCTCACACACACACACCACACACACACACCACACACACACACACTCACTCACACACACACACACCACACACACACACCCCACACACACACCACACACACACACGCACGTGCTCACACACACACCACACACACACACCCCACACACACACACCCCACACACACACCACACACACACACGCACGTGCTCACACACACACACACCACACACACACACACCACACACACACACGCACGTGCTCACATACACACACACCACACACACACACCCCACACACACACACGCGCGTGCTCACACACACACTAACACACCCTTGCCGTCGGAGGTCCCGCTCGTGGAGGCCTTGTGCCCAGGCTTGAGGTTCCCGTCGCTCTGTCCGGGCTTCATGATCCTCATGGGCTCCGTCGCCTCCTTCTTCTGCTGCTCCTTTGGCGCTGGGGGTGGTGGGAGGGGGGTGGGGTAGGGTGGGCGTGATGAGGGATGCAAAGTTAGTCGGGAATATGGGATTTATTTTCTTGGTTCTTTCGGTAATGTCACGTAGAAGGGAAGTAATAAAATAATAAAACTAAAACATTATTTTATTATATTATTTTATTATGTTTTATTTTTATTATTTTATTACTTCCCTTCTACGTGACTTTACCGAAAGAACCAAGAAGATGAATCCCTGCAGTCACGAAAGCTTTAAATCGAAATATGGGATTTGTGCAGGACCGCCCCAGCCTGAAGCCACATTGATCCTCCAAATTCAATCCCATAGGTTGCAGTGATGACAATGGTCAGAATGAGTGACCCCCGGACTGTGTCCACTAAAAATTACTCAAGTAAACACCTTGACTGTGGGGGAACACAGGTCGAATGGCACATGAAGCTGCTTCAATAACACAAACATAGCTCTGCGATCCGGCATTTTACCATCCGGAATGTCCCTATGAACCGGCGTCTGTCATAGGCTGCAATACGAATCTTCCTTCAACGTATCCGGAAACATTCCGGCAGCCATCCGGCATCTTCCCCGTGCGCTTATCGTAGGTCCGTTGTTTTTTACGGGAGATTCGGGACGCTGCCGAGTGGTGGTGGTGGTGGTGGTGCCAGGGGCAGTCTGTACATACAGCCCGTCCGTCCATCAAAGTTTCAGCTTTTCAGTTTCATTTATTTGGTATAGCCCTGTGAGCCATTCGGGCTCTTGAATCGGGTGCAACCGCAACAAAGAAAACATCTTAAAGTGACTATGTGACTAAGTGCCAAACAGAAAAATCCAGGAAAAAACTGCAAAATCTTCCAGATAAAAAAGCACCGTACACCAACGGTGTGTGCAAAAATCCCAGTGGGATGCAAGTCAAACAACAACAACAACCACAAGACAACTTAGATTAAAGCCATCATTCTAACCCCGTACTACAACAAACAAAACATGGCCAAACCAAAAAAACTTTCGAAATCACCAAAATAAAGCCATAAAAGCAATGTAACAGTGATCATAGGAACTGTGACCGAAATTTCACAATAAACGACATAAACAACATGTACCACCAAAACCCTGCAGCCATAGCTGGCTGCATGAGTCACTCCACAACAGCAGGAGCATCAGTAGGAGTATCAACATTTTTCAAATGCACCTTCAAAGGTTGACGATAACCACGGCACACGTCATTGGGACGAGGAGTTTGGGGTTCGGTGAAAACGCAGGTGGCTGAAAAGGTCAATCTGAGCCCGAAACACTCCTGGGGCACACTGGACATGCCATGTTGGTAGAAACCTCCTGGGAGACGGGTCTCTTGATAAGGGTCTTGCACCATTATCTCTTCAGCATGGCAGTAGTACGGTACGTACAGTAATGTACTGCTGTACACTGTACCCTAAGTGGCCCCACTGCTTCTCTACATTGAACTTAGAGAATACTCAACAACCGTCTTTGTAAAAAGGGTATCTTATTATTATTTATTCTGTCATCGTTAAAATGTCACATTCCGATTTAAAGCTTTCGTGACTGCAGGGATTCATAGTCTTGGTTCTTTCGGTAAAGTCACGTGGAAGGGAAATAATAAAATAGTAAAAATATAAAACAATAAAATTATCAGATAGTTTAGTTAAATAGTTTAAATGAATAATTTAATTTACCTTTTTTAAAGTTTAATGATATTCTTGGTTCTTTCGGTAAAGTCACGTGGAAGGTAAATAATAAAATCACAAAAATAAAACATAATAAATTAAATCACGACGTTTCGGCCACAACACAAGCAGCCGTCCTCAGGTGAAGAACAGAGCAGTCGGAATGGATCATTAGGACGCCTGAAGTAGGGCGCTTGTGTTGCGCCCGAAACGTCGTGATTTAATTTATTTGAATTTTTCACCTTCGTGACTTTACCCAAAAAAACAAAGAGTACCACGTCATGGCCTCGATACACGTGGGGAGTGCTCGTGTAGCGGACAGCGCACTGCACTACGAACCCAGCGACCAGAGTCAGAGTCCCACTCGCAACCAATAACCGTGACGATAATTTGAACCGATCCCGGGTCTCCCCCGAAGTCGATTCAACCTTAAATGTCTGGCACGGTGTGTTTAATAACATCGCCACTAGGGATACAAAGGTGATCCGGCATGATACTGGCCACCCACCCCCTCGTGTGGCATGCCGGCTTCTATAGGTGCTCACTAACAGCACTTGCCCCAAGTCAGTTAAAGTCTATACGAGGAACTTTGTTTGTGTGTGTGTTTTTTTTGTGGTGTAAATACTCACTGGGAGGCGGGTTCTCCGGAATGGACGGCTGAACACCCTCAATGCTCAGCCAGTGAGCTGCAACACATCACAACACATCACACCACAACACACCACAACACAACACACCACATCACAACACACCACAACACAACACACCACAACACACCACAACACACCACAACACACCACAACACATCACAACACAACACACCACACCACAACACATCACAACACAACACACACATCACAACACAACACACCACAACACATCACAACACACCACACACATCACAACACACCACATCACAACACATCACAACACAACACACCACAACACAACAACACACCACAACACACCACACCACAACACACCACACCACAACACACCATCAGAGTCAAGTTGAAACTACAGTGAAACCTTGGATTGCCAGTAACTTGTTCTGCGAGTGTTTTGCAAGACGAGCAAATTTTTTTAATAAATAATAATTTGATAAACGAGCGAGGTCTTGCAATACGAGCAGTACGTACAGTATACGCTTTGTCTGCCGAGCGTCACGTGATCACAACTGAGCCAATGGTTCTTCTCTCTTTCTCTCGCTGCGGGATTGTGGGTAATGGTCTCCCATGCTCGGTCTCAGTCGGCGTGCCTCACTCGTATAGTCAACATCCGTGCGAGCGTTTACCGTTTACTAAAGCGTTGTGACCACGTGTGTGTGCGTAAAGCATTGTTTTATTTTGTGTCCAAGTGTAGTGACTGTTCTTTAGGAACTGTACTGCAACAATGCTTCTTGCCACCTCAAGAGGAGGCAAAAGCAAGTGTCATTGGATAGGTTTCTTGTTAAAGTCGCACGAAAAGAAAAAGATTCCCGTGAGCCAACAGATGGCAGTGATTCCGTTAGTGACCGTGAAAGTCCAGATTTGAAGCTTTCGTGACTGCAAGGATTCATATTCTTAGGTTTTTTCGGTAAAGTCACGTGGGTGAAAATTTTTTATTAATAAAAGTAAAATAAAAAATTAAATTAAAATCACGACGTTTCGGAGGCAACACAAGCTTCCGTCTTCAGGTGGAACCGTCACAGCACGATTGCTGCATCAAGTAAAGAGAAATTCCAAGAAAACAGTCCTTGTATATATACTGGTTGAGAGTGGGAGGAGCCAAGGTAGGCCCCTGGGTATTATTTTATTTTTTATTTTTAATAAGGGCCTACCTTGGCTCCTCCCACCCTCAACCAGTATATATACAAGGACTGTTTTCTTGGAATTTCTCTTACTTGATGCAGCTATCGTGCTGTGACGGTTCCACATGAAGACGGAAGCTGGTGTTGCCTCCGAAACGTCGTGATTTTTATTTTATTTTTTATTTTACTTTTAGTAATTACATTTTTTTACCTACGTCCTACACAATAACCCTCCTCCTCCTCCTCTCCTCTCTCTCGTCTCCCTCACACCAGCCACGATTACATTTAATCAATACATTTGATTACTTTATATTAAATATAAACAAAAATAAGTACAGAATTTTGTATTAATAATTTTCACATGAATATTTTTGGGATCGTGGAACGAATCATCTGAGTTTCCATGATTTCTTATGGGGAAATTCGCTTTGATATACGAGTGCTTTGGATTACGAACACGTTTTCGGAACGAATTATGCTCGCAATCCAAAGATTCACTGTATTTCTTATTTTAACAATTTTTTTTTATTTTACCAGGTAAGGCCCACTGAACTACACAGCTTTTTTTTACAGAACCGACCTGGTCACAAATGATATCTCAACGAAGTGGCTTATCACGTGGCCATGTATCATAGCTAAATACTTTAATAAAATAGATGTTGATTCTAAATGTGGAGGAACTGGAGAAGAAACCACGTGAACGCGGGGAGAACGTGCAAACTCAAAATATACAGCAGCAGGCGTCAGGGTCGGGATTGAACACGTGACCTCCTGCCTACCAGGCGAGGTAGTTAACATCTCATTTCCATGTGATAAGCCATTTCGTTGAGCTATCGAGCTCTAGAGCTAGGTGGGGCTTATCAAGTAAAATAAAAAGTTAGTTTGTGAGTACTTGGTCATGAATAGGACGCTGACAATGAACATGATGGTGATCGTTTAACACGCTTTCTATTAACTCACTCTGTCTGTTGTTGTTGTTGTCGTATCCTCAAATCTTGTAACTAAATTTGAACCCACTTCCCAATGTGGTATCGACTGCAAACTTGGTATACTTATGTCATACTGATGACAATACTATATTCCAGAGGTGGGACAAAGTCATTGTTATGCAAGTCCAAGTCGAGTCTGAAGTCATCAAATTCATGACTCGAGTCTGACTCGAGTCCAAGTCACATGACTCGAGTTCACACCTCAGAGGTGGGACAAAGTCATTGTTATGCAAGTCCAAGTCGAGTCTGAAGTCATCAAATTCATGACTCGAGTCTGACTCGAGTCCAAGTCACATGACTCGAGTTCACACCTCAGAGGTGGGACAAAGTCATTGTTATGCAAGTCCAAGTCGAGTCTGAAGTCATCAAATTCATGACTCGAGTCTGACTCGAGTCCAAGTCACATGACTCGAGTCCACACCTCTGCTATATTCTATCATTAAAAATATTTTTTTTTGTAAACATTATTTTTTATATGTTATGTTTCGCCTTGGGTCTAATTGTCCACGGTCAACTAACGTTGGCTGTAAATCACCACGCTCCCTGACGCTGTGGCAAGCTTCGGGGCCACTTCCTGGAGTCGTAGATTTCATCCATTACTAGTACGGTACATTTCATTAACATTAAAGCGTGTTTAAAAAAAAGTTGTTTTAAATATTACTTATTTAGAGTATGTAAAGTATTTTTTTTTGTGTTTACGTTTTTGTCCTTGCCCTGTACCTCCAATTCACACGGTTGGCTACATCAGGTGCTAAAGTTCCACATGCATAGATCCAGCGTCTATATGATGCACTCGACTGCCGATCGCGATGTCGATGACGCACTGCGCTCGCCACGAGTGATAAACACTTCACGGCGGTGACGGTCGCGGTGACATCCTTCGTAGAGCGCGTACAGAGAGCCGTAACACCGCTTCCACCACTCGTTATGAACGTGACGATGACCTTCACGACGAAACACTTTGTGCAGTGCGCGTGCGGCGCGTGTGTGTATGCGGGAGCTTAGGGTAAACACCAGTGGCAATTATCTGAATCGGTCCTGGGCCTCCTCTAGGTCGACTCAGCCTCAAATGAGTACCTGGTGCAATGTGCTAACATAGCCACTGGGGTAGACAAAGGCGGTCGGGGGTGGTGTTGGCCACCCACCCTCTCGTGTGCCGTGCCAGCCTTTATAGGTGCTCGCTAACAGCACTTGCCCCAAGTCAGTTAAAGGCTATATGGGGGCCTTTATCTTCTGGAAGGGAGCGGTACGAACCAGGCGACCCGAGTTAGATTCCCGCTCACAGCCACCAACGCCAGTGGCCATTACGTGAATATTCCCCTGAGCACCCCGCACACGGGCCGATTTCATCGCTCCGTCTCCTGGGTGGGACGTCTTATCCCGACGAGTTCCATCAACCTCAGCTGCCGCCGAGTCGTTCGTCCCAGCCGCCTGGCATCGCCGCTAGTGGCCCCGATGTCTACCTACCAAAGCCCACTCACATCCCTTAAACGCTTTAAACGATGCCATTAACCCGCGAACTTCCTCTAATCCACGTCCTCCTCTCTCCCGTGACGATTATCACTGACACCAAGTGACGTCCTGGGCCTCCGCTAGGTCGATTCAGCCTCAAATGAGTACCTGGTGCGGTGTAAACATCGCCACCGGGGAGACAAAGGTGGCCGGGCGTGGTGTTGGCCACCCACCCCCTCGTGTGCCGTGCCGGCCTTCATAAGTGCTGCTCGCTAACAGCACTTGCCTCAACAGTCTGTTAAGGCTACACGGGTGATCTTTGTCTTTTGTTTTGGGGCGGAGGGGGGGGGTGTGCGTGCGTGTGGGGGAGGCTCCCCTGCCCACCCTTGAGGCTGATGTCGAGTGGCACGCGCGGGAGCGGCGTGTTGATCATGTCGCTCAGGTTCACTTCCTGCTCCTCGTAGAAGAACAGCTCCCGCCCTCCTCCGCTCGCGTAGCGGAACGGGATGAACTCGGCCGACTGGAACCCGTACAGGGGCTGAACACGCGAACACGCACACACACGACGATTAACACAAAGATCCCCCGTATAGCCGTAACAAACTGTTGGGGCTAGAATCGTTAGCGAGTAGCACCTATGAAGGGCTGCACGAACACACACACACACACGCAAGCACATGCTAGCACACGCAAACACACGCATGTGCGCAGGCAGGTGAGCACACAAACACCAATCTATATTTTTTCACCAGTTACTAAAATATACCAGTTCAGATATAATCGTCATTGATGTTGTCCATGAGCGGGAATCGAAACCAAGTCGCCAGGTTCGTAGTGCTGGCTTATACAACAACCGCCATGCGCCATTAGGTTGCAGTGACGTCACAACGACGCTTGTGCCAGGCTATGTGCACTTTAAGGCCACGTGAAGTGTCGAACGCCCACTGGCAGGAGGTCATGGGACAGACCCAGATGCCATGGGTTGACCGAGATGACTTGCAGATGCACCACCTCACACGTGCATAAACACGCGGAAAGGCAGGCTCACGTAAACTAACATCCGTAAGCACCTACACACAAGCAGGTGCACACAGACACAAGACAAAAATCACCCGTATAGCATCACCAACCTCTCGGGGCAAGTGATGTTAGCGAGTAGCAACTATGAAGGCCAGCAAGGCACACGAGGGGGTGAGTGGACAGCACCACGTCCAACTCCCGCCTTTGTCTCCCTAGTGGCGATGTTTACACATCGCACCAGGTACTGATTTGAGGCAGAGTTGTCCTAGGGGAGGCCTAGGACTGTTTCAGATAATCGCCACTGGTGTTGGCCGTGAGCGGGAAACGAACTCGGGTCACCGGATTCATTGCGCAGCGCGTTAACCGCTGCACTACCGTTCACGCAGGCACAAAAACAAAGATCCCCCGTATAGCCTCAACAAACTGTCGGGGCAAGTGCTGCTAGGGAGCACCTATGAAGGCCGGCACAGCACACGAGGTGGTGGGTCGCCAGCACCACGCCCAGCCGCCTTTATCTCCTCAGTGGCGATGTCTTTACGCGCTGCACCAGGTAGTCATTTGAGGCCGAGTCGACCTAGGGGAGGCCCAGGACCGGTTCAGATAATCGTCACCGATGTTGGCCGTGAGCTGGAGTCGAAGTCAGATCGCCATGTTCGTAGCACAGGGCGCCAACCGCTACACAGACACGGGCAGGGACACACGCACACACCTACCTCAATGTTGCGTATCTTCAGGGCGTGGTCGAGGTCGGATGTGCTCAGTTTTTTCCGCTTGCCATGGCGCATGAATTTGGCCGCCTCCTGCACATCACCAACATCGACATCAACAATAGCAAATACTGCAAGGGAGTAATCGGTATCAGCATGATCAACACCAAAAGCAACGTCAACATTCTCATCACCATCAATGACAACATAACCGATAATTGTTTTTTTACCCTTTTATCTGGCAACAAAACTGACGCCTTTTTTACAAGGAGTCATGTTTGCATTGACCACAATACCTGCGGTTGGAATGCAAACCAAAAACACAACTCTGATAAAGTATGCACGGTCCTTGAAATTGATTGGTCCAGACCCGAGACAGCTTTTCTTAGAGCCTAGTCTCACATGGTGTTGGACCAGATGACGCCAAAAGGCGTACAACTCAAAGACAATGCACCATCAGAGTATGAGAGCTCGGGGTAAGCTACTGGCAAAGGAGGTTCCAATGGTACAACATAACCATCAACACTCCTGATGCAGCCGCAAGATGTTAACTACCTCGCCTGGTATGCAGGAGGTCGTGGGTTCAGTCCTGACCCTGTATATCTGGAGTTTGGATGTCTCTCTCCGCATGGTCGCGTGGGTTTTTCTCCGTGCCCTCCGGTATTTCCCTCCACATTTAGAATCAACGTGCGTTTAAAGTATCCGGCTCCTATAAGTTTCCACACGGATGTATGTTGAAATTATTTTGCACGTAGCCTAACCGTGTTAGTCGCATGCCCGATGATAAGCCACTAAATTGTACGATCATTTGTGGCCAGGTCGCTTCTGAAAAAGAGCTACTTACCTGGTAAAAAATAAAAAAATTTAGTTTTAATTTTATTCTAAACTAATTAACCCTTTTCCATTCTGATGATGTACGTGTACGTCATTCCGTTCCGGAATCGTGAGAACACCAAAATAAAATAACTCCAATAATAATAATAGGGGTTTTTCCCCTTTTTTTCTGGCAACAAAACTGAAACCTTTTTACAAGTGTAGAGGAGCAGTGAGTGACGTCACGGGGAGACCCTGGGGGACGGTAACGTCATGTCCCAGGGGGGTATTTAGGGGGAAGCACGTGACGTAAGAGGGGTCGTGGTGGGAGCCGGGAACGGGAGAGGTTGCAGGTTGGGACCCGGGGTAGCGTAGCTCTGACACGAGGCTAAGGGTGGCTACTCACCCGACCGGCCGAAGTGCGGTTCGCCCTCGGCCGGTGCAGGGAGGAGAGCCCAGAAAGCAGAGGTCGCAAACGGGTTTTGATTCCTTACCCGTACCCGGCCGCACCAGGGTCGCAAATGGGTACCCGTACCCGGCCAGGTACGGGTAGCCGTTCCCTACCCGTACCCCAACCCTACCCGAAATGAGTGACAAACGGTTACTCACCAGTGACTCACGGCCTACCCGTACCCGTACCTGGCCGCACCAGGGTCGCAAATGGGTACCCGTACCCGGCCAGGTACGGGTAGCCGTTCCCTACCCGTACCCATACCCTACCCGAAATGAGTGACAAACGGTTACTCACCAGTGACTCACGGCCTACCCGTACCCGGCCGCACCAGGGTCGCAAACGGGTACCCGTACCTGTACCCGGCCGGGTACGGGTAGCCGGGTATCGGGTAGGGTACGGGTATCGGGTACCCGGTTGCGACCTCTGCCAGATAGCCGGGGTGGTAGCATCCCCAGGACCCGCATCCCCTGGGGAGTATAGTCTAGGGCGTCCCTTGTTAGGCGTAAGCCCCAAATAAACTTGGCGTGAGCCCCCTACAACTCACCTGCCTCCCCGTCGTAGTTTTCACCATAACACAAGGAATCGTGTGTGGATTAACCACAATGCTTGTGGTCAAAATGCAAACAAAATAACACACTCTGTTAATATACGCATTGTCCTTGAAACTGATTGGTCCACACCAGAGACGGCTTTCTTTTGAGCCTCGTCTCAATTGGTGCTAGACCAGAGGACGCCAAAAGGCGTGAAAAAAAAAGTGAAAAAACCCTATTATTATATTTTAGTACTCGCAAAGGAGGGTCTAATGATAAAATAACTCCATCGGCACATCTTCAGGTTAGAAGACGTACCGAGACTCCCAGAAGGCCGTACGAGAGGGCGTGTGGCAAAGTGCGGTGCCAGCTATCATAGAGTAGTGGCGGTCGTGTCGCAACAGTTCTCTGCGGCGAGTAACAACGTCTTTAAAAACAACGGCGCTACGCCTCGCCAACTAAAATTAACAGAGCCGCTTGCACGTTCCGAGATTTGGCGGTGAACGGGACACCTACCCTGCCAGTTGCTGACAGACATCTCGGAAAGGGGATTAAAGGGGATTAAAGGGGATTAAAGAGCGAACGTCTGGCCCCCTCACCTGCGACAGCTCCTTGAGTCGGAAGCCAACCTCCTCTGCGAGCAGCTGACATGCGTCCTCCGACATCTGCGCGAGTCCCACGGACTCGCCGATGAGCTTCACCGACTCGACGGGCAGCAGCGTGCCGCTCACGCGCGACTTCTTCTCCTCCGCCATCGCCCCTCGTGCCAGGCACAGCCGCGCTACGCGACGACGCACGGACAGACGGGGGTGGCATGGGGGGGTGGCAAGGGTTACAGGGAGATAGGAGGGGCAGGGGGTACAGGGAAATGGGGAGGCAAGGATGTATGTTGAACTTTGTTCGCACCGTACCTTGCCAACCGGAGGTGCGGGGGAAGGACAATAAACGAAACTGAAGAAACGTCGTGATTGTTATTGTTTTATTTATATTAATTTTAATTTCATTTTTTACCTACGTGACTTTACCGAAAGAACTAAGAGTCTGAAGAAATTAGTTTTCGAATTTAGATTTTAAAGTGCATTGCTCCAGTGGCTTTCTGACTCACCCTACCGGACATCTGTGAAAAAGAGCTTTACAACTCATCGGATTCCTCCAGTACAAATAAAGATTCTGAATCTGGCTTCCTAATATCAGAAGGACGAGTGTTCCAGACGGCGGCAGATGCATATCTGTAAAAGCGCGAGATGCAGTGTCCCCGCCGCCTTTGTTCGATAGCCAGCCAAAGGCCGACGCTGCGAGGATGACCGGAGTTCATGCGATGGTTCAGGCTCCTTGACGAAATCAGCAAGGCAGTGTGGCTCATTTGTCGTAAGCACTTTGTGTGCAATGAAGCTATGTCTGTCATACACAAGTGGAACAGACAGTGTCTCTAGAACAAGGAGTTGGCAACCGGCAGCTCTGGAGCTGCATGCGGCTCTTTTAGGATTGCTTCGTGACGTTATCTAGTAAGGACACGCATTGCAGCTCTTGAAATATAGAGTTTTCTTTTACAGAATTCCCAAAAAAGCCCTCATCTAGAATAACACTGGTCAACACACTTTTTCTGGCATAAGGTATTCCAACGGTTTTAAGGTAATTTTGGGGTGCCGATTCCAAATCTGGCATCAATTTTTGTCTATCACATCAGGTTTTTGAGATATCAAATATTGCATTTTCAATAAAAACTGCAGAAGAAAAATATTAAATAGATGTGGATATCTACATAAAATTATATTATAAACACACTATCCTAAAAATACAGCACCATATTTTAACACTAAAGCAGTCACTGACTCGCAACAACTTGCAATCATAAGTGACAGAGGTAATTTCGGGTAAAATCAATGAAAATGGGGTATGCCGATAGCATAAAATGAGATGTGATAGAGCAAATCTGAGATCAGATTTGGAATCAGCACCCTGAAATTAGTCTAGAACAGCTGGTTAATGTAAGCATGATTCCTTGCAAAAGGTGTCATTTTTGTTGCAAGAAAAAATGGGAAAACCCCTATTAGTATATTTTGGTACTGGCAAAGGAGGTCCCATGATGTAGCTGCTCACCCCGAGCTCTCATTACTCTGGTAGTTGCGTTGTCTTTGAACTGTGCACCTTTTGGCGTCATCTGGTCGAACACCATATGAGACTAGGCTCTAAAGAAAGCTGTCTCTGGTGTGGACCAATCAGTTTCAAAGACAATGCATAAATGATCAGAGTATTGTTTTTTGTTTGCATTTGACTGCAAGTATTGTGGTTAATGTAAGCATGATTCCTTGAAAAAGGTGTCAGTTTTGTTGCCAGAAAAAAGGGGAAAACCCCTATTAGTACATTTTGGTACTGGCAAAGGAGGTCCCATGATGTAGACAAATACATTTAACAAATACATACAAGATTTGACAATACAACAATGACAACAACAGACATATTGAGTTAAAAGAAAGCGTGTAAAAAGATAGTTAAATTTTATATTTTTCATGTTTTTTTTATGATAAAATATAGTTTTGTCATCAGTATGACATAAGTATACCAAGTTTGCAGTCGATACCACATTGGGAAGTGGGATAAAAGTGAATTACAAGATTTGAGGATACGACAACGACAACAACAGACAGAGTGAGTTAGAAGAAAGCGTGTAATATAAGTATAACCCGTAAAAACAAAGTTTTTCACTATAAATCCTTTATATGCGTGGCGGCTAGAGTCCTCTCGTCCTCTGGCTTGAGATGGCTGCCACCTATGGGTCAGATGATTGTCTGCCAGTATTAAGCAATTGGTAATTAAATATTTAATTTGTTTTCCCTAAACAGTGTAAAATTTTGGAAAAAAAAATTCACGAACATTAAATGTCTCGCACAACGAGTCTGTGTGCAAAATGTCAGCTCGATTGGATCACGGGAAGTGGGTTAAAAAACGAGCGAAAGATTTGCACGGTCCTAAGCAAGCAAGCGAACTTAATATAAAGGATTTAAAAATATATTCGCCTGTGGAGGACGCGGGGATCGATCCCGCGACCTTTGGCATGGGAAGCGAGGGCGCTACCAACTGCGCTACTCCACCACGGCCTGTGGAGGGGTTACGCTCTGGGCTCTTGCACTGTGATGTTCAGCCAAAGCCTTGAATGCGTTCAATTTGAATATATGTAAAATAAAAAAAAATTGCCTAAAAAGTGTAACATTTTGGGAATTTTTTTTCACGAACAATAATTGTCTGGCACAACGAGTCTGTGTGGAAAATGTCAGCTCGATTGGATCACGGGAAGTGGGTTAAAAAACGACCGAAAGATTTGCACGGTCCTAAGCAAGCAAGCACGCGAACTTAATATAAAGGATTTAAAAAGAGACCGACAGAGATAAGGCATGGCCACTCAAAGCAGCAGTGTCCTTCTGTAACATTGGCACTCCTACAGAAGGATACTGCTGCTGCATCTAAGCTGGACCCAAAGAATGCCCCAACATAGATGATAATGGTTGAACCATCGAAGAAGACGACCTGTAGATGATGATGATGATGCAGGCAATGATGACAAGGTACCCGGCACTGTTTAGACACATTGAGTTAGGATGGACAACAGGAAAATGTAAAGTGTGTGGTTTGCAAACAATTGAAGGAACCGGGAAAGAGAGGAAGACCTTGATTTGAATGTTTCGTGACTGCAGGAATCCATACTCTTTGGTTCTTTCGGTAAAGTCACGTAGGTAGTTATTTTATTTTCTACCTACGTGACTTTACCGAAAGAACCAAAGCGTATAGAGGAAGACCTGCTGGCAGAGAATGGGTTGACAACGACGACGGTGCCAGAAAGATGTGGCCACTACTTGAGCAATATTGGCACTACGAGCCAGAGGTCGCAATCGGGTACCCGATACCCATACCCTACCCGATACCCGGCCGGGTACGGGTAGCCGGGTATCGGGTAGGGTACGGGTACCCGTTTGCGACCCTGGTGCGGCCGGGTACGGATAAGGAATCAAAACCCGTTTGCGACCTCTGCTACGAGCCAGAGGAAAGTGGGAACAGACGAAACCTGTAGTTGACACCTCGGCGGATATTTGCCCACGGATCGTGGTGATGATGAACTACACTATACACTACAATATACACTACGTTATACACTACACCACTATAACTTGGTTATATACGAGACGATACACTACGATGTGGCACTACTTGAGCATGCTGGCACTACAAGACAGAGGAAAGTGGATGCAAGAAATTACTAAATGTGAAATGGAAACCACCGTTGGCTATCTGCCCATGGATCGTGATGATATCCCTATACCATCCACTACTATACACTACGTTGTACACTACTATACACTACACTATACACTACACCATCCACTACTATACACTACACTATACACTACACCATCTACTACTATACACTACACTATACACTACACCATCCACTACTATACACTACTATACACTACGTTGTACACTACACCATACACTACTATACACTACGTTGTACACTACACTATAATGTGACACTACTTGAGCATATCGGCATGACAAGACAGAGGATGCAAGAAATGACTGCAGGTATTGTGGTCTATGCAAACATGACTCCTTGTAAAAAGGTGTCAGTTTTGTAGTCAGATTGAAAGGTAAAAAAACAATTATCTTTTTTACTGCCAAATGAGGTTCCAATGGTGTAAAAGCCTCAGCTTTGTTCTATCCACTGCTAAATGAAGGCCGACGCTAATCTCACAGCCCACCCCTCCCTTGTAATGCAACACACCAAAATTAACACATCGTCTGAAATAATGATGATGTATACGTAGGAAACAATGGCTAGCGAGCGTTAGTGTTAATTTGATTGTTAAAAAACGTTTAAAATCGGGGCTTTCTTACCGAGTATATGTTGAATCCGATCGGACGTGGACAAACCTCCGAATGGTTTTCCTTGATACGTCGTATATACCTTCGCTTGGCGTCTGTAGAAAACCTAATTTTATATCTATTTTAAAACAACATTTTTTATTCCGTTTCACATTTAACAAAACACTTTAACCCGCGTAAAATAATCGGGGCCGACCGTCCCCATCAACAATAGCCCGTGGGTTTCCTGGCCCCCTTCATCGGCCATCTTAGGTAGGGGGGGGGGGAACAGTGACGTCATCAGCTGCTCATCCACTGTCCAATGGGAACTCAGCCCTGAGCAAGATGGCCGCCAAAAACCGCCCCTCCCTCCGCCACTTCCCCCTCCCCCCGACCCCGCTCCTCGTCCCGCCCCCCTTACCCCCCCTGCCCCGCCCCCCTTACCCCCCCTACCCCGCCCCCTTTACCCTCCCCTGCCCCACCCCCCTTACCCCCCCCTACCCCGCCCCCCATACCCCCCCTGCCCCACCCCCCTTACCCCCCCTGCCCCACCCCCCTTACCCCCCCCTACCCCGCCCCCCATACCCCCCCTGCCCCGCCCCCCTTACCCCCCCTGCCCCGCCCCCCTACCCCACCCCCCCTGCCCCGCCCCCCTGCCCCACCCCACCCCCCTTACCCCCCTACCCCGCCCCCCTGCTCCCCCCTACCTCGCCCCCCTCTACCCCCCTGCCCCGCCCCCCTTACCCCCCTCTACCCCCGCCCCCCTACAACGCCACCCTCAACCCGCCCCCCTCTACCCCACCCCTTACCCCGCCCCCCTACAACACCACCCTCAACCCGCCCCCCCTTACCCCTCTGCCCCGCCCCCCTCTACACCTCACTACCCCACCCCCTACAACGCCCCCCCCTACCCCGCCCCCCTTACCCCCCCTACCCCGCCCCCCTTACCCCCCCCTACCCCGCCCCCCTTACCCCCCCCCCTTACCCCCCCCTGCCCCGCCCCCCTTACCCCCCCCTGCCCCGCCCCCCTTACCCCCCTGCCCCGCCCCCTACCCCGCCCCCCCTACCCCACCCCCCTACAACGCCCCCCCCTGCCCCGCCCCCCCTTACCCCCCCTACCCCACCCCCCTGCCCCACCCCCCTTACCCCCCCCCTACCCCACCCCCCCTACACCCCCCTGCCCCGCCCCCCTCTACACCTTACTACCCCACCCCCTACAACGCCCCCCACCCCACCCCCCTTACCCCCCTGCCCCGCCCCCTACCCCGCCCCCCTACAACGCCCCCCCCTACCCCACCCCCCTTACCCCCCCTGCCACGCCCCCTTCAACTCCTCCCCCCACACACCCCTTCTACCCCCCTCCCTTTCGTCAACCCACGTGGTTTCACGAGGTGCCCAATCAGAGACTCCCTCGCCCGCCTCTGAATAATCCCGGCAATCGATTCGAATTCATTGATCTTTTATAATCGATTCTTAACGAACGGATAATCGAGAATGGCCGAGGCCCGAGGAATCAGAATCTTTCATTGAGACTGGAGAAATCCGATCATCCCCGGCAATCGATTCGAATTCATTGATCTTTTATAATCGATGCTTAACGAACGGATAATCGAGAATGGCCGAGGAATCAGAATCTTTCATTGAGACTGGAGAAATCCGAAGATCTGTGAAGCTCTTTTCAACAGGCGTTCCGGTGGGGGCGGCTCAGAAAGTAACAACAAGCAACAATTATAGGAGTGCAAAGTGTAGTAAATGAAAGTTAACCTCACGAAACAGATCATTAAAATAGATACTATAATATATGGGGCCGTCCATAAATGACGTCACTCACCTAGGGGATGGGGGGGTCAGACATTTGTGACGATGTGTGACGAGGGGGGGGGGGTTGAGAAATGTGACGTCACATCAAAATCCGCAACTTTAAATCAAGTTCAAGTTCATTGATTAGGTATAGCCCTCTTCTTGGTTCTTTCGGTAAAGTCACGTAGAAGGGAAATAATAAAATAATAAAAATAAAACTTTTATTTTTTTCTTATATAAAAATAAAACATTATGTTTTATTCTTTTTATTCTATTATTTCCCTTCTACGTGACTTTACCGAAAGAACCAAGAAGATGAATCCCTGCAGTCACGAAAGCTTTAAATCGAAAGGTATAACCCTGTGAGCCATTCGGCTCTTGAATCGGGTGCAACCGCAACAAACAAAAATAAAAAAAAAGATGAAAAAAAACATCTTAAAGTGACTATGTGACTAAGTACAAACAGAAAATCCAAGAAAAGACAGCAAAATGTTGCAGAAAAAGCACCGTACACACCAACGATGTGTGCAAAAAAATCCCAGTGGGATGCAAGTCAAACAACAACAACAACCACAAGACAACTTAGATTAAGGCCAAACAAATATGGCCAAACCAAAAAACTTTTCGAAAATCACCAAAATAAAGCCATGAAAGCATTGAAACAGTGATCATAGGAACTGTGATGGAATTTTCACAAAAAACGACGTCACGCGATTTTGGACGATTTTTGACCCCCCCCCCCCCTTCGTCACACGGCATCACAAAAAGTCAGGCCCCCCCCCCTCAAATATGACGTCACAAAGCTCTGCCTGCCCCCCCCAAAAATAGAACATGCTTCAAATCGCTTTAAACTATTGTCATTGCAGTGCGTATTTAATGTGGCGCTGCACTCTGATGTTGTAGGAGAAAACATTTATTAAAAGTCTATTTAATTAAGTAGAACGTGTTGTCTATATTTATTTAAAGTTGGGCATTTTGATGTGACGTCACATTTCCCACCCCCCCCCCCCCTCGTCACACATCGTCACAAAATGTCTGACCCCCCCCCCCACCCCCTAGGTGCGTGACGTCATTTATGGACGGCCCCTAAACCCACGACAACATTTACAATTACTCTTTGGCTCTGTCGGTAATATTCTTGGTTGGTAAAGTCACGTAGAAGGGAAATAATAAAATAATACAAATAAAACAATTACATTCTCAGATAGTTTAGTTAAATAATTGAATTTAATAATTTAATTTACCTTTTAAAAAAAAAGTTTAATATTATATCGGTGAAGTCACGTAGAAGGGAAATAGTAAAATAATATAAATAAAACAATTACATTCTCAGATAGTTTAGTTAAATAATTGAATTTAATAATTTAATTTACCTTTTTAAAAAAAAGTTTAATATTATATTTTTGGTTCTTTCGGTAAAGTCACGTAGAAGGGAAATAGTAAAATAATATAAATAAAACAATTATATTCTCAGATAGTTTAGTTAAATAATTGAATTTAATAATTTAATTTACCTTTTTTAAAAAAAAGTTTAATATTATATTTTTGGTTCTTTCGGTAAAGTCACGTAGAAGGGAAATAGTAAAATAATATAAATAAAACAATTATATTCTCAGATAGTTTAGTTAAATAGTTTGATTTAATACTTTAATTTACCTTTTAAAAAAAAAGTTTAATATTATATTTTTGGTTCTTTCGGTAAAGTCACATTGAAGGGAAATAATAAAATAATAAATAAAAAACTATTAAATTCTCAGATAGTTTAGTTAAATAGTTTGATTTAATACTTTAATTTACCTTTTAAAAAAAAAGTTTAATATTATATTTTTGGTTCTTTCGGTAAAGTCACATTGAAGGGAAATAATAAAATAATAAATAAAAAACAATTAAATTCTCAGATAGTTTAGTTAAATAGTTTAATTTAATAATTTAATTTTCCTTAAAAAAAGTTTAACATGATATTCTTAGTTATTTCGGTTGAAAAAAGTGACGGTTTAGAAAAAAAAACATTATTGCTGTGGTCTTCACACCTGATGATGATTGCTTGTGTTGCAATCGAAACGTCGTGATAATTTTATTGTTTAATTTTTTAATATTTTATTATTTCCCTTCTACGTGACTTTACCGAAAGATCCAAGAATATAATATTAAACTAACAAAAAAGGTAATTTAAATTATTAAATTAAACTATTTAACTAAACTATCTGATAATTTTATTGTTTGATTTTTTATATTTTATTATTTCCCTTCCGCATGACATTACCGAAAGAACCAAGAATATCATATTAAACTTTAATAAAGGTTAATTAAATTATTAAATTAAACTATTTAACTAAACTATCTGATAATTTTATTGTTTTCTTTTTATTATTTCCCTTCTACGTGACTTTACCGAAAGAACCAAGAATATCATATTAAACAAAAAAAGCTAAATTAAATTATTAAATTAAACTATTTAACTAAACTATCTGATAATTTTATTGTTTTATTTTTAATATTTCCCTTCTACGTGGCGTTACCGAAAGAACCAAGAATATCATATTAAACTTAAAAAAACAAAGATAAATTAAATTATTAAATCAAACTAACTAAACTATCTGAGAATTGTATTGTTTGATTTTGAATATTTTATTATCTCCCTTCTACGTGACTTTACCGAAAGAACCAAGAATATCATATTAAACAAAAAAAGGTAAATTAAATTATTAAATTAAACTATTTAACTAAACCATCTGAGAATTTTTATTTTTTTATTTTTTATTATTTCCCTTCTACGTGACTTTACCGAAAGAACAAAAATATCATTAAACTTAAAAAAGGTAAATTAAATTATTAAATTAAACTATTTAACTAAACTATCTGATAATTTTATTATTTTATTATTTCCCTTCTACGTGGCGTTACCGAAAGCACCAAGAATATCATATTAAACTAAAAAAAAAGGTAAATTAAATTATTCAATTAAACTATTTAACTAAACTGAGAATTTTTTATTATTTCCCTTCTACGTGACTTTACCAAAAGATACAATAATATAAATCCCTGCAGTCACAAAATCTTTAAATAAAAATGTCTTTCGGTAATGTCACGTAGAAAGAAATCAAATTAAATACAATCGGAGTACGACGTTTCGCCCGTAATTACGAGTGGCATCATCAGGTGACCTCCCATCAGCTGTCCTCGAGTGAACCGGCGGAATCGATGCACCAATCGATTAATTCGGTAATCGATTCCTAAAAGCCGCGAATTACAATACTGTAAATGGAATCGAAAACGCGTAATCGGTAATCTTGGGTAATCGATTCCCTACGCGCGCTTAATCTTGTAGCACATTTCAACAGAATCGATTCCCCCGCTAATACAACAATGAAATCGCTTGATCGATTCTCAGCTCCTGCACCACATCCACAATCGGCTTCACCGCCTCAACTAAAATCGATTCGCAAAAATCGAATTGATGACAAATCGTTAAACCGATTCGCACGCGCGGGGTTTAGCGCTCAAACGCATTCCCCTGGAACGGAATCGATTCCTGCAACGTATAAACCGACTCGAATCGACAATCGATTCTCTCTCCCACACTCCCAATGTTGGGGTTGGTTTTGGGTCGCGGGCAGAGACGGTGGTGGTGGTGAGGTAGTTTAGTTGTTGTGGTGGTGGTGGTGTTAGTTTAGTTGTGGTGGTGGTGGTGAGGTAGTTTAGTTGTTGTGGTGGTGGTGGTGTTAGTTTAGTTGTGGTGGTGGTGAGGTAGTTTAGTTGTTGTGGTGGTGGTGTTTGTTTAGTTGTGGTGGTGGTGAGTTAGTTTAGTTGTGGTGGTGGTGGTGAGGCAGAGTTAGTTTAGTGTTGGTGGTGGTGGTGTTAGTTTAGTTGTTGTGGTGGTGGTGAGTTAGTTTAGTTGTGGTGGTGGTGAGGTAGTTTATTTGTGGTGGTGGTGAGTTAGTTTAGTTGTGGTGGTGGTGAGGTAGTTTAGTTGTGGTGGTGGTGAGTTAGTTTAGTTGTGGTGGTGGTGAGGTAGTTTAGTTGTGGTGGTGGTGAGGTAGTTTAGTTGTGGTGGTGGTGAGGCAGAGTTAGTTTAGTTGTGGTGGTGGTGAGTTAGTTTAGTTGTGGTGGTGGTGGTGAGGCCGAGTTAGTTTAGTTGTGGTGGTGGTGAGTTAGTTTAGTTGTGGTGGTGGTGAGGTAGTTTAGTTGTGGTGGTGGTGAGTTAGTTTAGTTGTGGTGGTGGTGAGGTAGTTTAGTTGTGGTGGTGGTGAGTTAGTTTAGTTGTGGTGGTGGTGAGGTAGTTTAGTTGTGGTGGTGGTGAGGTAGTTTAGTTGTGGTGGTGGTGAGGCAGAGTTAGTTTAGTTGTGGTGGTGGTGGTGAGTTAGTTTAGTTGTGGTGGTGGTGGTGAGGCCGAGTTAGTTTAGTTGTGGTGGTGGTGGCCGCCTGAGTTTAGTTGTGGTGGTGGTGGCCGCCTGAGTTGGCGGTGGTGAGGCCGTTAGTTGTGGTGGTGGTGAGGCCGAGTTAGTTGAGTTGTGGTGGTGGCCGCCTGAGTTGGTGGTGGTGAGGCCGAGTTAGTTTAGTTGTGGTAGTGGTGGCCGAGTTGGTGGTGGTGAGGGCATCTGAGTTAATTGGTGGTGGTGGTGATAGGCACAGCGGGTGGCGTGGCTTTGAATACATTCGTTGTTTAGGGAGGGGGGGGGGTGTTTGGTGGTGGTGGTAGTGGTGGCGGCGATCTTTACCCAATTTGAAAAAAGTTACAGGGAAGTAAGGGGGGGGCCGCGTGGTGGTGGGTGGTGAGGGGGGCTCGGTGGAGGGGGGCTCGGTGGAGGGGGGCTCGGTGGAGGGGGGCTCGGAGGTCTACGAGGGGGGTCAGGTGAGGTGAGGTGGTGAGGAGGTCTACGAGGGGGGTGAGGTGAGGTGGTGAGGAGGTCTACGAGGGGGTGAGGTGAGGTGGTGAGGAGGTCTACGAGGGGGTGAGGTGGTGAGGAGGTCTACGAGGGGGGTGAGGTGGTGAGGAGGTCTACGAGGGGGGTGAGGTGAGGTGGTGAGGAGGTCTACGAGGGGGGGGAGGTGAGGTGAGGTGGTGAGGAGGTCTACGAGGGGGGTGAGGTGAGGTGAGGTGGTGAGGAGGTCTACGAGGGGGGTGAGGTGAGGTGAGGTGGTGAGGAGGTCTACGGGGGGGGGGTGAGGTGGTGAGGAGGTCTACGGGGGGGGGGGGTGAGGTGAGGTGAGGTGGTGAGGAGGTCTACGAGTGGGGTGAGGTGAGGTGAAGGTGGTGAGCACGTGGCAGCGATGGCGCCAACAACATGGCGACGAAAACAACAACAACAACAGCAGCAACAGCAACAACAACCTCGACAGAGAAATCAACAGCGACGGGGTGTAACTCGACCGGCCCGATCCACGACCACGAGGCCCAAGCAGCAGCCCCCCGCAACAGCAGCAGCAGCAGCAGGCGAGGCTCTGCTGCCTCTCGAAAGTTGCATGTGTCCCGTGTGTCTGGACATCCTGGTGGAGCCCGTGACGATGCCGTGCGGACACTCGCTGTGCGCTCCCTGCTTCGCGCAGTGCGTCGAGAAGGCGGCCCTCTGCTGCCCGCTGTGCCGGGCCCGCGTCTCCAGCTGGGCCCGGCGGAGGGCCCGCGAGCCGGGCGGCCTCCTGGACGCGGAGCTGTGGAGCAGACTGCGGGCACAGCACCCAGAGCGGTGCCTCAAGAGGATGCGGGAACGTGGTGACGGTGGTGGTGGTGACGGTGGTGGTGACGGTGGTGGTGGTGATGGCGGAGGTGGTGATGATGATGGTACGGGGCATGCTGATTTGGTGTCATTGGTTTGGTCTGGTGGTGGTGATGGTGATGATGATGGTGGTGATGATGATGGTACGGAGCATGCTGATTTGGTGTCATTGGTTTGGTCTGGTGGTGGTGGTGGTGATGATGATGGTACAGGCATGCTGATTTGGTGTCATTGGTTTGGTCTGGTGGTGGTGATGGTGACGATGATGGTGGTGATGGTGATGATGATGGTACGGAGCATGCTGATTTGGAGTCATTGGTTTGGTCTGGTGGTGGTGATGGTGGTGATGATGGTGGTGGTGGTGGTGATGATGATGGTACGGAGCATGCTGATTTGGTGACATTGGTTTGGTCTGGTGGTGGTGATGGTGATGATGATGGTGGTGATGATGATGGTACGGAGCATGCTGATTTGGTGTCATTGGTTTGGTCTGGTGGTGGTGGTGGTGATGATGATGGTACAGGCATGCTGATTTGGTGTCATTGGTTTGGTCTGGTGGTGGTGATGGTGACGATGATGGTGGTGATGGTGATGATGATGGTACGGAGCATGCTGATTTGGAGTCATTGGTTTGGTCTGGTGGTGGTGATGGTGGTGATGATGGTGGTGGTGGTGGTGATGATGATGGTACGGAGCATGCTGATTTGGTGACATTGGTTTGGTCTGGTGGTGGTGATGGTGATGATGATGGTGGTGATGATGATGGTACGGAGCATGCTGATTTGGTGTCATTGGTTTGGTCTGGTGGTGGTGGTGGTGATGATGATGGTACAGGCATGCTGATTTGGTGTCATTGGTTTGGTCTGGTGGTGGTGATGGTGACGATGATGGTGGTGATGGTGATGATGATGGTACGGAGCATGCTGATTTGGAGTCATTGGTTTGGTCTGGTGGTGGTGATGGTGATGATGATGGTGGTGGTGGTGGTGATGATGATGGTACGGAGCATGCTGATTTGGTATCATTGGTTTGGTCTGGTGGTGGTGATGGTGATGATGATGGTACAGGCATGCTGATTTGGTGTCATTGGTTTGGTCTGGTGGTGGTGATGGTGATGATGATGGTACAGGCATGCTGATTTGGTGTCATTGGTTTGGTCTGGTGGTGGTGATGGTGATGATGATGGTACAGGCATGCTGATTTGGTGTCATTGGTTTGGTCTGGTGGTGGACGTGGTTATGGTGGTGGTGGTGGTGACGGTGGTGGTGATGGCGGAGGTGATGATGATGATGGTACGGGGCATGCTGATTTGGTGTCATTGGTTTGGTCTGGTGGTGGTGGTGACTGGTACAGGCATCCTGATCTGGTGTCATTGATCTGATGGTGCCTGTGGTTGTTGTGGTGGTGGTGATGATGATGATACGGGGGGCATGCTGATCTGGTGTCATTGGTTTGGTCTGGTGGTGGACGTGGTTGTGGTGGTGATGATGATGATGGTACGGGCATCCTGATCTGGTGTCATTTGTTTGGTCTGGTGGTGGTGACGGCGGAGGTGGTGATGGTGATGATGATGGTACGGGGCATGCTGATTTGGTGTCATTGGTTTGGTCTGGTGGTGGATGTGGTTGTAGTGATGATGGTACGGGGCATGCTGATCTGGTGTCATTGATCTGATCAGGTGGTGACGGTGGTGGTGATGGCGGAGGAGGTGATGATGATGGTACGGGACACCCTCATCTGGCGTCATTGGTTTGGTCTGGTGGTGGACGTGGTTTTTGTGGTGGTGATGGTACGGGGAATGCTAATTTGGTGTCATTGGTTTGGTTTGGTGGTGGCTGTGGTGGTGGTGATGATGATGTTACGGGGAATGCTTATTTGGTGTCATTGGTTTGGTCTGGTGGTGGACGTGGTTGTGGTGGTGATGATGATGATGGTACGGGGCATGCTGATTTGGTGTCATTGGTTTGGTCTTGTGGTGGTGGTGACTGGTACAGGCATCCTGATCTGGTGTCATTGATCTGATGGTGCCTGTGGTTGTTGTGGTGGTGGTGGTGGTGATGATGATGGTACGGAGCATGCTGATTTGGAGTCATTGGTTTGGTCTGGTGGTGGTGATGGTGATGATGATGGTGGTGGTGGTGGTGATGATGATGGTACGGAGCATGCTGATTTGGTATCATTGGTTTGGTCTGGTGGTGGTGATGGTGATGATGATGGTACAGGCATGCTGATTTGGTGTCATTGGTTTGGTCTGGTGGTGGTGATGGTGATGATGATGGTACAGGCATGCTGATTTGGTGTCATTGGTTTGGTCTGGTGGTGGTGATGGTGATGATGATGGTACAGGCATGCTGATTTGGTGTCATTGGTTTGGTCTGGTGGTGGACGTGGTTATGGTGGTGGTGGTGGTGACGGTGGTGGTGATGGCGGAGGTGATGATGATGATGGTACGGGGCATGCTGATTTGGTGTCATTGGTTTGGTCTGGTGGTGGTGGTGACTGGTACAGGCATCCTGATCTGGTGTCATTGATCTGATGGTGCCTGTGGTTGTTGTGGTGGTGGTGATGATGATGATACGGGGGGCATGCTGATCTGGTGTCATTGGTTTGGTCTGGTGGTGGACGTGGTTGTGGTGGTGATGATGATGATGGTACGGGCATCCTGATCTGGTGTCATTTGTTTGGTCTGGTGGTGGTGACGGCGGAGGTGGTGATGGTGATGATGATGGTACGGGGCATGCTGATTTGGTGTCATTGGTTTGGTCTGGTGGTGGATGTGGTTGTGGTTGTAGTGATGATGGTACGGGGCATGCTGATCTGGTGTCATTGATCTGATCAGGTGGTGACGGTGGTGGTGATGGCGGAGGAGGTGATGATGATGGTACGGGACACCCTCATCTGGCGTCATTGGTTTGGTCTGGTGGTGGACGTGGTTGTGGTGGTGGTGATGGTACGGGGAATGCTAATTTGGTGTCATTGGTTTGGTTTGGTGGTGGCTGTGGTGGTGGTGATGATGATGTTACGGGGAATGCTTATTTGGTGTCATTGGTTTGGTCTGGTGGTGGACGTGGTTGTGGTGGTGATGATGATGATGGTACGGGGCATGCTGATTTGGTGTCATTGGTTTGGTCTGGTGGTGGTGGTGACTGGTACAGGCATCCTGATCTGGTGTCATTGATCTGATGGTGCCTGTGGTTGTTGTGGTGGTGGTGGTGGTGATGATGATGATACGGGGGGCATGCTGATCTGGTGTCATTGGTTTGGTCTGGTGGTGGACGTGGTTGTGGTGGTGATGATGATGATGGTACGGGCATCTTGATCTGGTGTCATTTGTTTGGTCTGGTGGTGGTGACGGCGGAGGTGGTGATGGTGATGATGATGGTACGGGGCATGCTGATTTGGTGTCATTGGTTTGGTCTGGTGGTGGATGTGGTTGTGGTTGTAGTGATGATGGTACGGGGCATGCTGATCTGGTGTCATTGATCTGATCAGGTGGTGACGGTGGTGGTGATGGCGGAGGAGGTGATGATGATGGTACGGGACACCCTCATCTGGCGTCATTGGTTTGGTCTGGTGGTGGACGTGGTTGTGGTGGTGGTGATGACGATGATGATGGTACAGGGCATGCTAATTTGGTGTCATTGGTTTGGTCTGGTGGTGGACGTGGTGGTTGTGGTGATGATGATGGTACGGGGAATGCTGATTTGGTGTCATTGGTTTGGTTTGGTGGTGGCTGTGGTGGTGGTGATGATGATGTTACGGGGAATGCTGATTTGGTGTCATTGGTTTGGTCTGGTGGTGGACGTGGTTGTGGTGGTGATGATGATGGTACGGGGCATCCTGATCTGGTGTCATTGATCTGATCTGGTGGTGGCTGTGGTTGTGGTGGTGGTGATGACGATGGTACAGGCATCCTGATCTGGTGTCATTGATCTGATCTGGTGGTGTCTGTGGTTGTGGTTGTGGTGATGACGATGATACGGGGCATGCTGATCTGGTGTCATTGGTTTGGTCTGGTGGTGGTAGTGGTGGTGGTGGCGGTGGTGATGATGATGATTGTACATGCATCCAGATCTGGTGTCATTGATTTGATCTGATGGTGGACGTGGTGGTGGTGATGATGATGGTACGGGGCATCCTGATCTGGCGTCATTGATCTGATCTGGGGGTGGCTGTGGTTGTAGTGGTGATGACGATGGTACAGGCATCCTGATCTGGTGTCATTGATCTGATGTGGTGGACGTGGTTGTGGTGGTTACTGGCGGTGGTGGTGGTGGTGAAAATGCTAGGGGCCTCCTGATCTGGAGTCTTGATTTGATCTGATGATGGATGTGGTGATGAATGTGCTGTTACTGCTGCTGGTAGTGTTGGTGATAATGATGTTCTCCTGGTGTCCTTGATCTGATCTGGTGCTGGACGTGGTGGTGGTAGTAGTAGTGCTGGTGCTGTTACTGGGAATGGTGGTGATGATGGTACGGGGCATCTTGATCTTCTGGTGTTCTTGGTCTTTTTTGCTGGTGGATGTGGTGGTGGTATGGCAAGCGGTGGCTCAGTGATTAGCGCGTTGCGCTACGAACACAGCAACCTGAGTTCTAAACTATAACCGACGTTTTATTTTATCAAGTAAGGCCCACTGAGCTATGTAGCTCTTTTTACTGGTAGGAACGAAGTGGACCAGCCAACAATAGATTATATCGTCCGTCCGTGTAGCAACATCGCCCCCTACTGCAAACACTTGGCAGGACCCTACTGCAAACACTTGGCATGACCCTACAAAAACCTTTAGACTCAGTGACGCTTTCCTGGCTAAACAAGTGTAACATTCCCTTATAATTCCCTCAGATAGCTTTTAATTAAAACATTTAAATTAACGAGGCTTTCCTGGCCAAACAAGTGTAACATTCCCTTATAATTCCCTGAGATAGCTTTTAATTACAACTTTTAAATTCCAATTTTACTCACAGCGCCCTAAAGCCTACAGCTAGGCCTAAAGCCTCGAACTACGCCTATCACTCTCCCTTCGTATCGTACCCCCGCGTGTGTGCAAGGGAGTTAATGTTTAACAATGTTACATTCCCTGATGCTTTTAAGTAGAAACATTTAAATTTAAAGCTTTTACATAAATAATAAAAACATTTAATCTTAAAATTAACTCACGGCGGTCTAAAGCCTACAGCTAGGCCTAAAGCCTAGAACTAGGCCTCAACCTCTCCCTTCGTATCGTACCCCCGCGTGTGTGAAAGGGAGTTAATGTTTTACAATGTTACATTCCCTGATGTTTTTAAATAGAAACATTTACATTTTAAGCTTTTACATAAATAATTAAAACATTTAAATTACAAATTAACTCACAGCGGCCTAACGCCTACAGCTAGGCCTAAAGCTTAGAATTAGGCCTCACACTCTCCCTTCGTATCATCCGATTCGGTGTAGCAACATCGCCCCCTACTGCAAACACTTGGCAGGACCCTACAAAAACCTTTAGACTCAGTGGGGCTTTCCTGGCTAAACAAGTGTAATAATACATTATGTTTATATTCTTTGGTTATTCCTTCCTACCAGCCCACCCCGCAGGGACCTGTTCAGAAGCGACTTGGCTCGCTAACAGCACTTGCCCCCCGTAGCCTGTTAAGGCTATATGGGGGATCTTTGTCTTTTGGAGATTATAATGGTATGGGGCCTCCTGATCTCCTGGTGTCTTGATCTGATGTTGTGGTTGTAGTGGTGATGGTTGGTGGTGGTGGTGATGATATTACAGGTGGTCTGATCTTTTGGTGTCTGAATCTGATCTGGTGCTGGTGGTTGTTGTTGAGATGATGGCCGCGGTGGTGATTGTGGACATGATGCTACGGGGCCTGGTGTCTTGATCTGGCGGTGGGAGAGTTGATGGCAGCGGTGGAGATGATGGCGGTGATGGTGAGGGTGGTGGAGATGACGATGGTGGTGGAGATGACGATGGTGGTGGAGATGATGACGGTGGTGGAGATGGTGGCGGTGGTGGAGATGGTGGCGGTGGTGGAGATGGTGGCGGTGGTGGAGATGGTGGCGGTGGTGGAGATGACGATGGTGGTGGAGATGACTGGTGGTGAAGATAGTGGTGACGGTGGTGATGGTAGTGGTTGTGGTGATGGTAGTGGTGGTGGTTGTGGTGGTGATGGTGGTGGTAGTGGTAGTGGTGGTGGTAGTGGTGGTAGTGGTGGTGGTGGTAGTGGTGGTAGTGGTGGTGATGGTAGTGGTAGTGGTGGAGGTCGTGGTGATGGTGGTAGTGGTAGTAGTGGTGGTGATTGTGGTGGTGGTAGTAGTGGTGATGGTGGAGGTCGTGGTGATGGTGGTAGTGGTGGTAGTGGTAGTGGTGATTGTGGTGGTGGTAGTAGTGGTGATGGTGGTGGTAGTGGAGGTCGTGGTGATGGTGGTAGTGGTGGTAGTGGTGGTGGTAGTGGAGGTATTGGTGATGGTGGTGGTGGTGATGTTGGTGTCTCCACGTTGCTCCAGGGCCCCTGTTTCAAGCTCCCGTGCTCGTCAGCCGACCCGGGGAGGTGCGCCGCGAGTACCAAGAGCAGTACGAGAAGGTGCGGAGACGTGAGCTCACACGCACTCCTACCACACTACCACACACACTCCTACCACACTTACCACACGCACGTACCACACACACGTACCACACACTCGTACCACACACTCGTACCACACACACGTACCACACACTCGTACCACACACTCGTACCACACACTCCTACCACACGTACCACACGCACGTACCATACACACGTACCACACACTCCTACCACACGTACCACACGCACGTACCATACACACGTACCACACACTCCTACCACACGTACCACACGCACGTACCACACACTCATACCACACACACTCGTACCACACACTCGTACCACACACGTACCACACACTCGTACCACACACACGTACCACACACACGTACCACACACACACACGTACCACACACACGTACCACACACACGTACCACACACACTCGTACCACACACACACACACGTACCATACACACGTACCACACACTCGTACCACACACACTCGTACCACACACACGTACCACACACACTCGTACCACACACACGTACCACACACACATACACACGTACCACACACTCGTACCACACACTCGTACCACACACTCGTACCACACACATGTACCACACACACGTACCACACACACGTACCACACACACACGTACCATACACTCGTACCACACACACGTACCACACACACGTACCACACACACTCCTATCACACGTACCACACACACTCCTGCCACACACTCGTACCACACACTCGTACCACACACACGTACCACACACACGCGTACCACACACATGTACCACACACACAAGTACCACACACACTCCTACCACACACTCGTACCACACACTCGTACCACACACTCGTACCACACACACGTACCACACACACGCGCACCACACACACACTCCTACCACACGTACCGCACACACGTACCACACACAAGTACCACACACACTCCTACCACACACTCGTACCACACACACGTACCACACACACGTACCACACAGACACACTCGTACCACGCACTCGTACCACACACACGTACCACACACACACTCCTACCACACGTACCACACACACGTACCACACACACACACTCCTACCACACGTACCACACACACGTACCACACACACACACGTACCGCACACACGTACCACACACTCGTACCACACACACGTACCACACACACGTACCACACACACGTATCACACACTCCTACCACACACACGTACCACACACACGTACCACACACACGTACCATACACACGTACCACACACTCCTACCACACGTACCGCACACACTCCTGCCACACACACGTACCACACACACGTACCACACACACGTACCACACACACGTACCACACACGTACCACACACACGTACCACTCATACAGCACACACGTACCACACACACTCCTACCAGAACGTACCGCACACACGTACAACACACACGTACCACACACACTCCTACCACACGTACCACACACACGTACCACACACACACACTCCTACCACACGTACCGCACACACGTACCACACACGTACCACACACTCCTACCACACGTACTACACACACACTCCTACCACACGTACCATACACACGTACCACACACGTACCACTCGTACCACACACTCGTGTCACACACACGTACCACACACACGTACCACTTCTACCACACGTACCATACACACGTACCACACACACTCCTGTCACACACACGTACCACACACACGTACCACGTGTACCACACACACTCGTACTACATGTACCACACACTCGTACTACATGTACCACACACTCGTACTACATGTACCACGCACTCGTACCACACGTACTACTCGTAACAACACACACAAGTACCACTCATACCACACACAAACACATACCACACGTACCACACACACGTACCACGTGCACTACACACACATACCACACACACACACCCTCGTATCACACACACACACCCTCGTACCACACACACACGTACTACACGTACCACACACACACACACGTACCACGTGCACTACACACACACACACACGTACCACACGCACACACCTACCATGTGCACCACACACACCACACACACTTGTACCACACACACGTACCACACACACACGTACCACACACGTAACACACACACACACGTACCACACACACACGTATCACGCACACACACACACACACACTCGTACCACACACACACACTCCTGTACCACACACCCACATTTCTACCTCGCATACCACACACACGTCCAATGCAATTGCCTCAATATTATAGGGCATCAATGCGGACTTTTAAAGCGTGTTTTAACGACGACAGAAAGATGGACAATAACTCGATCGGGAATACAAAGAATCTTAACAAGATTTGGAATGTAATGAATATGCCTTCTTGTGCAAAGTAATACTTTTCACAAAGTAACACTTTGCACAAAGTAAGACTTATAATATTATTGGATAATATTATTAAGTAACCAAGTACAGTGGTACTCCGGAGATTGAGCTTAATTCGTTCCGGAAGGCCGTTCGAACACCGATTTGTTCGAACACCGAATTAATCTTCCCCATAAGAATTCATGTAAATGACATGAATTGGTTCCAGACAAAAGAAATCTCTCATTATAAAGCATTTTTACACGAAGTTTGCAGTAATTACATGCTAAGAATCATACAAAAAAAACAAGAAACTTGCGTATGGATGAACACCAAAAAAAACACTAAAATAAAGGAAATTACTGAAAAGTTAAGGGACGATGGTTTGCGGGTCTGCACTGGGTGAGAGCTACGTGTTAACTGAGCCTCTCATATGGTAAAAACCTTTGGGCAAGCGTCATGCACGCTGGCCATACGCGTCTCAGGCGTACAGGTTATTTCAAGTTGCGATTGGCCGTTCGACCTCCGAATTTCGTTTGGTTTCCGGGGCAAAAAATGTTCGGAAATATCGTTCGAGCGCCGATTTGTTCGAGTTCTGGTGCGTTCGATCTCCGAGGTTCTACCGTACAAACGACTCTTCAAAACCCATATTCTTAGGTTTTTTCGGTAAAGTCACGTAGGTAAAAAATTCAAATTAATAAAAGTAAAATAAAAATAAAATAAAATCACGACGTTTCGGAGGCAACACAAGCTTCCGTCTTCAGGTGGAACAGTCACAGCACGATTGCTGTATCAAGTGAGAGAAATTCCGAGAAAAAACCGTATTTGTATATATACTGGTTGAGGGTGGGAGGAGGCAAGGTGGGCCCTGAATATTATTTTTGTGAGGTTCGGTGCGGCTGAAGCACGCTGTTAGAAATGAGCCTTTGTTGTGTAAACCCCACGGCGACATGAACAGCACACGTCTGCACAGCGCCCCCCCCCGCGCGTCAACGATTACAGAACACCGCCTACAACCGATTTCGATTGAAAGCTTTCGTGACTGCAGGGATTCATCTTCTTGGTTCTTTCGGTGAAGTCACGTAACTTTACCGAAAGAACCAAGAAGATACAACCGATTCTTAAAAAAACTCTCCAGACTCAACCGACGCACCCCGCCTGTGTGTTGGCGATCACAGGGCACGGTGGCAATGAAACGCGTACAGAATAAGTAATATTTAAACATTCTTTTTTTAAAACATGTTTAATGAATGTACCGTACTGGTAATGGTAGAACTCCACGACTCCAGGAAGTGGCCCCGAAGCTTGCCACAACGTAAGGGGCCGTAGTGATTTACAGCCAACGTCAGTTGAGCGTGGACAATTAGACCCAAGCCGAAACATAACACGTAAAAAAGATTGCTTACGAATTTTTATTTTTTATTTTTAATGATAGAATGTAGTATTGTCATCAGTATGACATAAGTATACTAAGTTTGCAGTCGATACCACATTGGGAAGTGAGTTAAAATTGCGTTACAAGATTTGAGGATACGACAACAACAACAACAGACAGAGTGAGTTAATAGAAAGCGTGTAAAACGATCATGTGGCTACCAACCCCCCCACCCCCCCTCCCCCCACCCCCCACCCCCCCACCCCCCTCCGCCTGCCTCCCGGCTGCAGCTGCAAGCGGAGCGGCTGGCCCAGGATGAGGAGGAGCGGCGTCTGTCGGAGCGCCTCATTGCCCAGCTGATGGAGGATGAGCAGCAGCAGGAGCTGGCGGCCCGTGCGCAGCAGGAGGCCATGGACAGCGAGTTGGCTCGCAGGCTCAGCCTCGCCAAGGTGAGACGCACACACGCCGTCACACGCACGCACGCACGCATGCGTGTCGTACGCGGGTGTCGCTGATACGTACATGACACGCACGCACGCACGCGGTCACACGCACGCACGCTCGCATGCGTGTCGTACGCGGGTATCGCTGATACGTACATGGCACGCACGCACGCGGTCACACGCACACACGCAGGCATGCGTGTCGTACGCGGGTGTCGCTGATACGTACATGACACGCATGCACGCACGCGGTCACACGCACACACGCACGCATGTGTGTCGTACGCGGGTGTCGCAGATACGTACATGACACGCATGCACGCACGCGGTCACACGCACGCACGCAGGCATGCGTGTCGTACGCGGGTGTCACTGATACGTACATGACACGCATGCACGCACGCGGTCGCACGCGCGCTCGCATGCGTGTCGTACGCGGGTGTCGCTGATGCGTACATGACACGCATGCACGCCGTCACACGCATGCACGCACGCATGCGTGTCGTACGCGGGTGTCGCTGATACGTACATGACACGCACGCACGCGGTCACACGCACGCACGCTCGCATGCGTGTCGTACGCGGGTGTCGCTGATACGTACATGACACGCACGCACGCACGCGGTCACACGCACGCACGCAGGCATGCGTGTCGTACGCGGGTGTCGCTGATACGTACATGACACGCACGCACGCGGTCACACGCATGCACGCAGGCATGCGTGTCGTACGCGGGTGTCGCTGATACGTACATGACACGCATGCACGCACGCGGTCACACGCACGCACGCAGGCATGCGTGTCGTACGCGGGTGTCACTGATACGTACATGACACGCATGCACGCACGCGGTCGCACGCACGCTCGCATGCGTGTCGTACGCGGGTGTCGCTGATACGTACATGACATGCACGCACGCACGCACGCGGTCACACGCACACACGCAGGCATGCTTGTCGTACGCGGGTGTCGCTGATACGTACATGACACGCATGCACGCACGCGGTCACACGCACACACGCACGCATGCGTGTCGTACGCGGGTGTCGCTGATACGTACATGACACGCATGCACGCACGCGGTCATACGCATGCACGCATGCATGCGTGTCGTACGCGGGTGTCGCTGATACGTACATGACACGCACGCACGCACGCGGTCACACGCACGCACGCATGCGTGTCGTACGCGGGTGTCGCTGATACGTACATGACACGCACGCACGCGGTCACACGCACACACGCAGGCATGCTTGTCGTACGCGGGTGTCGCTGATACGTACATGACACGCATGCACGCACGCGGTCACACGCACACACGCACGCATGCGTGTCGTACGCGGGTGTCGCTGATACGTACATGACACGCATGCACGCACGCGGTCATACGCATGCACGCATGCATGCGTGTCGTACGCGGGTGTCGCTGATACGTACATGACACGCACGCACGCGGTCACACGCATGCACGCACGCACGCGTGTCGCACGCGTGCGTCGCTGATACGTACATATCACACACGCGGGAATCACCGGCACACGCGCACGCACGTGTAACACATTCCACATTACTGTGACAGGGCTCCGTCCATCCGTGCATACTGACTGCCGCCCCCCCCCCACTACCCATGCCCCCTGTGAAGGAGGAAAAGCCGGTGCAGATGTCATCGTGGTCCTTGATGAATCAGAGGTCGCGTTCGAAGACTCTGAGTCCACGCACCCCGGTCCAGGAATCCACATCCGTCTCCAAGGGCATAGAGAGGTCAGTGGCTGACGATGATGACGACGACGATGACGACGATGTTGCCATTGCTGTGGTGATAATGGAAACGGCAACATTATCATCATCATCATATTGGCAGTGATAAAAACATGATCTTGGCAATGGCGTCATCACATCATCGTCATGGTATTGACATGTCAATGACGTCATCATAGTCTCAATGACGTCATCATTGACATCAATGTCATAATACCGTGAGATTGTTGACATCACGATGATCTCTTAAAATCACCTGGCCACAAATGACGGCTTTAACGAAGTGGGCTTATCACGGGGAACTTTATTGCGGCCAAATACTCTAAACACACGTTGATTCTGAATGTGTAAGGGAAAAACTGGAGGACCCGGAGAAAAATCCACGCGAACGCGTGGAGAGAGAGAGAAAGAGACACGCAGACTCCTATACAGCAGCAGGAGTCAGGGTCGTGATTGAACCCACGACCTCCTCCATACCAGGCGAGGGAGTTAACATCTCGCCATTGCGGCGCCCCTCATAATGATAGAGAGAGGCTGACTCGGAGAGAGAGAGGACGACTTAGGGAGATCTAGACAGAGAGGGGACGACTGAGAGCGATGTCACATCTCCTAGCCACTGCGGCACCCAATGACATCGTCGTCACCGTCTCCCCCACCCCCGTCGTCGCTCTGTCTCCCGCAGGTTCCTCTCTCCCGTCCGGACACTACCAACGTCTCCATCGCCGCCCGTGCACCACCGCAGAACCGGACTGTCGCTGCAGCCAGGCACCAGCGCGGCCACCAGCACCACCACCACCTCCGCCAGCAGCAGCGGGGGGAGGTGGGAGGACGACACTCGCCACCACCACCACCAGCAGCTTCACCAGCTCCCCCACGGTAGCGCTCGCAGCAGCGACGACAGCAGGGAGGGCAGTACTCGGCAGCAGCAGCAGCAGAACCTCCTGTGCACCAGCAGCAGCAACAGCAGGAGCAGCAGCAGCGAGGGCAGCGCTCGGCAACGGCGGCCACAGCAGCAGCAGCAGGAACTTTTGTGTAGCAACAGCAGCAACAACAACAACAGCAGCATCAGCAGCAACAGCAGAGAGTGCCGGACACAGCAGCCACAGCTCCTCCCGCACCGCAGCAACAGCAGCAACAGCAGCAACAGCAACAGCAGCAACAGCAGCAGGGACGGCGGCGCGAGCAGCGGGGGCGACAGCATCACGCAGGAGCTGAACCACTTCAAGCCCATCGTGAGCTGCCCCCGCACGCCGCCCAAGCAGCTCCCGGACGGGCGCGTCCTCTCCCCCGCCCTCGTCAAGGCGACGCCCATCAAGCCCACCACCGCCACCGTAACCGCCTCGTCGTCCACCTCCTCCTCGTCGTCCTCGCTGCGAGCGGAGGTGCCGGTGGTGGAGCTGGTCGCGAGCGCGGGGCGGGCAAAGGGGCGCAGGCCGTGCCGGGCGCTGGCGGAGGGAGCCTGGAGGTCGTCGCGCCGAGGGCGGCGAGCGGACGACGACGGTGACGGAGGTGGTGGTGGAGGAGGTGGAGGAGGAGGAGGAGGTGGAGGAGGTGGAGGAGGTGGAGGAGGAGGTGGAGGTGACGGTTGTTACGAGGAGCAGGTCCTGTGGTCCAGGTGGCGTCGCATTGCGGAGGAGCGGGAGGCGGTTGCCCGCGGCGATGACGGTGCCGACAACGGTCACCACGGCGACAACAACCACGATGATAACACCGGCGAAGATGCAGATGCTGTCTATGTCATTGACGATGGCGGCGTTGCCGTCGCGGATGTTGAAGACTTGGAGCTGGAGCTGCCGCCCTCGCTGTTCCGCTGGCCCATGGCGCCGAGCGGATCCTCCGCGACTAAAAGCGACGGTGGCGGAGGAAGAGGCGAGCGGGGAGCGCCGGGAATCCGCGCGACGACGCGCGACGCCTCTGGAGCCAAGCGGCACCTCCCCTCCTCCTCGCCGCCGCCGCCGTCGTCGGCAAGAAAGACAAACGGTGGCGGCGGTCGCCCGCCGGACGACGACGACTCGGAAGACAACGTCTTTCTGACCAAGCGGGTGCCGGCGGGAAAGCGGCCTCGCCAATTGGTCTCCCCGGTGCCCGCCGCCACCTTCACGGCGGCGGCCGCGGCTCCCGGCTCGCCCCCCTCGGCCCGGCAGGAGGAGTTGGCGGCGGCGGTGGCGGCGAACGTTGATGACTACGACGCCGACACCGCCGCCGCCGTCGCCTTAGCGAGGCGGCAGGACGAGGAGGAGGAGGAGCGGCTGGCGCTCCAGGAGGACCGGGACCGCTGCCTTGCTCGGCGCCTCCAGCGGCAGCTCAACTCGGAGGCCAAAGCGGTCGACCGCAGCGCCGGCTCGGCCTCCGCGTACGACTTACGGCGCCAACGCTCCTGCCACCTCGCGGCAACGGGGGCGGCGGCGGCGGCTTCCGGCGGCGGACGGAGTCGGAGGTCGACCGGCGGGTCGAGGAGACGTCGGCCCAAGGAGGCCGCCGGAGACGCGCGGGGAGCGAAGGGCAGCCCCGGCAGGAAGAGGGCCGTATCGGCAGCGGCGGCGTCGGATGGGAAGGGCGGCGGAGGTCAAGGAAAGGTCGGGGGCGAGGTCGAGGGGGAGGGCAAGCGTCGGGGGGACCGCATGTTGCAGGTGAAGATCAACAGGATTTTCCAGAGGTGCCTGCCCGAGTCGAACGCGTCCTGCTGATGAGGGGTTGGCCGTGGAGGTTTCTTTCTGTCGATTTGGCCGTTTTTTTTTTGTTGTCGATATGTCGGTTTCAGAACGATGTGTGGTCTGTCGTGTCGATTGGCAATTTTGTCGCCGGATGTTGGAATCCGTCTGTGGATTTGGAATGAGGCCGTCGATATTGAATCTGCGCGTCGATTTGGAAACGATCAGTAGATTTCGAATCGGAAGTGTCGAATTGGAATCGGAGCGTCGATTTGGAACCGATCTGTCCGTCGCTTGACCGAGTCGGAAATGGATTCGTCCGCTGCTCGGAACGGATGGATTGCGATGCGTGGGGGAGGAATGGACCGCTTGAGGCTTCCAGCGAAGGACATGCCGAGGAGAGGGGGAGGGGAGGCAGAGTGATTTGTGAAACTGAAGAAGTTAGGACGGTGCGTCTGCGACAGACGGTCCAGCACGAGGTGGCAGGAAAAGCCCTGGGTCGGTGTGGCTGGCAAGTGCGGACGGGAACGCCGACCGAATCGGACGGTGAATGTAGCAAAACGTGGCGGTGGACGGAATCATTCACCGTGCACACACAAGCAAGACAAAGATCCCCCGTGTAGCCTTAACAGACTGTTGGGGCAAGTGCCGTCAGCAAGGAGCAGCAGGCCGGCACTGTGGCACACGAGGGGGCGGGGCGTACAGAACCACGCCCGACCGCCTTTGTCTCCCCAGTGGCGATGCTCACACATCCCACCGTACTCATTTGAGGCTGAGTCGACCGAGGGGAGGACCACGACCGGTTCAGATATAATCACCGTCGGTGGCCGTGAGCGGGAATTGAAAACTTGGGTCGGTGGGTTCGTATCGCAGCGCGCAAAACCGCTGCGCCACCACTCCCCCGCACCCCCACTCTTGCGTACACACGCAATGAACATTCTTAGGGCGGGGAATTTATTTCAAATTTTTTCCCCCTTTCTTTCCTCTCTCTCTCTCGCCGCCCACATCGGCTGTCCCAGCGGAATTTACGGTCCGTGAAACGATTGCCCTGAGATCTACGGCGGAATCTTTTAGCCGCTGCTTGGCACAGCGAGATCGTGGCGCGTTGACAGGTTTCTTTCCCAAGAAAATCCCCGCACACAGTGAGCAGCTTTGCCGCTGTCCGTAGCGTAGATCGGGAAGCTTTATTTTCGGAGGAAATCTTTACCGCAGAGGAGGGCGACGTCACCCTTTGGCCCGCCGTGCGACTGGCAAATGAATGTAGTATTCGCTTATCGCTGCCTGCCCCGTTCATCTCCGTCGTCATCAACGATCGTCATCTTCATCGTCGCGGCCACTGCCTAGTTGTAAAGCGGAGGGGGGGGGGGGGGGTGTCCGCCAAAAGTACCACCGACCGATTGACTCCCCCACAAAAGTGGTGCTCGTTTTTATCGTCCCCGGAGAGAGGTGATGATGGCCCGAGTCTGCTTCGCCCCCACCCCCCCGCGGCGTCGAAGGTGCCGTGGAAGTCGCTGGGACGCGATCAACAACAGCGGCGTGCGTCTTCAGAACGAGCTAGGGGGACCCACAGCTCCGACACCTGATTCTTACTCGTCAATTATTATTTTTATTCACAAGCCAAGGATGGGGCGGTGGGCAGGCAAAGTGTTTCTTAACGATCCGGGGAATGCGGTTATTGCACCCACCAAGCAGAGTGGCCACTGTCAGCCTGGCTTTGCCACTAAAGGGTGAAAAGAGCTTTAATAAGGTTTTTATTACTTAGTTGAATTTAGGTTTTGTCGTTTCACAGATTACGTTGTAACGGTCATTCGCGTGAGAGATCCTCGCTGTGTCTCGTGTTTTGCTGTTGGGGTCCTTGCCTACATTGGAAAGTTTGGGCCAATTTGTGAAATTATTATGATGTGTTTGTTTTTCTTTCTCAAATGCAAGTGTTTGGCTTCACGTGGGAGGGAACCCACCACGATAGGAGGGTGGGTGGGTGGGGGGCGGGGGCCACACACGGCAATATGGACCGGGTGCGTTAACCCTTGAACCCCGTAGAGTGGCAGCAGTTGCAGCGCTGTTTGGGGACCGTCGAACGGCCCTGCCAACTGGGGACGACGCCGTTGATTTTGGGGCGGCTGGGCCCTCGAAGTGAGCCAGTGAGGGCGAAACTTCGGTGCGAACTCGCGTCGCTGTTCACGACTTCAGCGTGGCCCTGCACTGGCCGAGGGGGGGTCGCCCTAAATGTTCGGAGGCACTAAACCCAACTTGGGTGGCGACTTTTTCTTGTTTTCTTCCTTTCCATTGCACAACCGAGCCGTGCCGGAGCCAGCCTGGCACGGCTCGGTGATAATTCACTGGTCAACACAATTTTTCTGGAATAAGGTATTCCAACGGTTTTTTAGGTAATTTTTTAGGGTGCCGATTCCAAATCTGGCATCAGTTTTTGTCTATCACATCAGGTTTTTGAGATATCAAATATTGCATTTTCAATAAAAACTGCAGAAGAAAAATATTAAATGTGGATATCTACGTAAAATGATATTATAAACATACTATCCTAAAAATACAGCACCATATATTAACACTAAAGCAGTCACTGACTCGCAACAACTTGCAAACATAAGTGACAGAGTTAATTTCGGGTAAAATCAATGAAAATGGGGTTTGCCGATAGCATAAAAATGAGATGTGATAGAGCAAATCTGAGATCAGATTTGGAATCGGCACCCTGAAATTAGTCTAGAACAGCTGCAAAAGTCCAGGCCAGAATTTTTGTTGTTGTTGTTGTTGACCAGTGTTATTTTTTCCACTGCTGAGCCCCGCCCCTGACGACGCGGGTGGTGTGACGCGGGGAGACACCACGTGGTTGCCACGTGCTCGCCTGCGTCGTTAGCCCCGGCCCCCTGGCCCTGCTTGGCCCCCCAAGCCAGATTCAGATGTCCTCTGAGGCAGAGGTCGCAACCGGGTACCCGATACCCGTACCCTACCCGATACCCGGCTACCCGTACCCGGCCGGGTACGGGTACCCGTTTGCGACCCTGGTGCGGCCGGGTACGGGTAGAACGTGAGTCACTGGTGAGTAACTGTTTGTCACTCATTTCCCAACGTCTTGTCTCTTCTCACAATTCAAGTTCCTAGAATCAACCCACCCGCGCCTGCAACATGGCTTCATCCCAGAGGTCGCAATCAGGTATCCGTTACCCGTACCCTACCCGGCCGGGTACGGGTAGGGTACGGGTATCGGATACCCGTTTGCGACCCTGGTGCGGCCGGGTACGGGTAAAGAATCAAAACTCGTTTGCGACCTCTGCTCTGAGGCCAGTAGCACATCGGCATTTCGACCTGGCTCGGTTCTTCAAATAGTCCCAATGGACAAATAAAAACAACAACACGACCCGTGTACCCCATGCCGTGCTGGCAGAGCGTCGGTTCGGCTCACATTGTGACGGTCATGAAGTTGGCAGTCCGTGCAATCTCGGTATTGGTCGTCTCCCAGCAGCCCATGTGGTCTCTGGTTTATTTGAAAACTCTGTGACCCACCAACCCTTGTGGGTCCAGACTCCCTTTACCAATGTTACCAGGAAGTCTGTGATGCTAATAAAGGATCTTGTTACTTAAGCATCGACTGATTTTCATTGTCGCTTGAAAGTGAATTACATGCAGTCACTCGCCTCTCAAGCTACTCCCCTCCACGCACTCTCTCTCATCTCACTCCACTCCCCCCACGCACTCTCCCACCTCTCCCCTCTCATCTCACTCTACTCCCCTCCACGCACTCTCCTACCTCTCCCCTCTCATCTCACCCTACTCCCCCCCCACGCACTCTCCCATCTCTCCCCTCTCATCTCACTCCACTCCCCCCCACGCACTCTCCCACCTCTCCCCTCTCATCTCACCCTACTCCCCCCCCACGCACTCTCCCATCTCTCCCCTCTCATCTCACTCTACTCCCCTCCACGCACTCTCCTACCTCTCCCCTCTCATCTCCCTCTACTCCCCTCCACGCACTCTCCCACCTCTCCCCTCTCATCTCACTCTACTCCACTCCACGCACTCTCCCACCTCTCCCATCTCATCTCACTCCACTCCCCTCACGCACTCTCCCACTTCTCCCCTCTCATCTCACTCCCCTCCACGCACTCCCCTGCCTCTCCCCTCTCATCTTACTCCACTCCCCTCCACGCACTCTCCCACCTCTCCCCTCTCATCTCACTCCACTCCCCTCCACGCACTCTCCCACCTCTCCCCTCTCATCTCACTCCCCTCCACGCACTCCCCTGCCTCTCCCCTCTCATCTTACTCCACTCCCCTCCACGCACTCTCCTACCTCTCCCCTCTCATCTCACTCCCCTCCACGCACTCCCCTGCCTCTCCCCTCTCATCTCACTCCACTCCCCTCCACGCACTCTCCTACCTCTCCCCTCTCATCTCACTCCCCTCCCCTCCACACACTCTCCCACCTCTCCCCTCTCATCTCACTCCCCTCCCCGCACTCCCCTGCCTCTCCCCTCTCATCTCACTCCACTCCCCTCCACACACTCTCCCACCTCTCCCCTCTCATCTCACTCCCCTCCACGCACTCCCCTGCCTCTCCCCTCTCATCTTACTCCACTCCCCTCCACGCACTCTCCCATCTCTCCCCTCTCATCTCACTCCACTCCCCTCCACGCACTCTCCTACCTCCCCCCTCTCATCTCACTCCACTCCCCTCCACGCACTCTCTTACCTCTCCCCTCTCATCTCACTCTACTCCCCTCCACGCACTCTCCTACCTCTCCCCTCTCATCTCCCTCTACTCCCCTCTACGCACTCACCTACCTCTCCCCTCTCATCTCACTCCACTCCCCTCCACGCACTCTCCCACCTCTCCCCTCTCATCTCACTCCACTCCCCTCCACGCACTCTCCTACCTCTCCCCTCTCATCTCACTCCACTCCCCTCCACGCACTCTCCTACCTCTCCCCTCTCATCTCACTCCACTCCCCTCCACGCACTCTCCCACCTCTCCCCTCTCATCTCACTCCCCTCCACGCACTCCCCTGCCTCTCCCCTCTCATCTTACTCCACTCCCCTCCACGCACTCTCCCACCTCTCCCCTCTCATCTCACTCTACTCCTCTCCACGCACTCTCCTACCTCTCCCCTCTCACCCCCCGCCCCCCCGTCCCCTCCCCCGCCCCCCCGTATCCGCAGCGCGCGTCGTCAGATTGCGTGGGAGACGCAAAGTTAAACTCGTCGAAACTAAAGTTTTATTCGGATCTGCATCGCCTCGTAGAAAGCGGGGACCACATCGTTCTCTGCCCCAGCGGCGGAGGGAGTCGGGTTCATCATCCCGCAGTCGCCGTGGCTGCGTTGAACGATTAATCGATTTCAAATCGACATCGCAATTTGAAACAAAGCGATTAGCAAAACGCAAAAGCTGCGATTTTTTTGCGATTTGACAGGTCCTATTACTTATCGGAATTGTTTATTTATTTATTATTATAACTTTACTTATTTAACTTAACAATTGTTCTATGTGTGATTGCTTCATTTCAATTATTATTTTCAAAATAAATTAATATCTTTTAAGTTCTCATGCATTAGAATATATAGAGCAGTTCATATGTTGATGGTATGTGGTAATGCTCCATCGCATGTTTTAAATCTATTACACAGTGAATATTGAACCGAAGCTTGACTTACATTTTTTTAATCGCAACTCAAATCGCAACCGCAATATCTTGTCAGAAGAATCGAAATTCGACGTTTTACCAAAATCGTTCAGCCCCAGTTGAGTTGTGAGTGGGTGGGTGAGTGGGTGAGTGAGTGGGTGAGTGGGTGGGTGGGTGGGTGAGTGGGTGGGTGGGTGGGTGAGTGAGTGAGTGGGTGGGTGGGTGGGTGAGTGAGTGGGTGAGTGAGTGAGTGGGTGAGTGAGTGAGTGGGTGAGTGAGTGAGTGAGTGGGTGAGTGGGTGAGTGAGTGAGTGGGTGGGTGAGTGAGTGGGTGAGTGGGTGAGTGGGTGAGTGACTGAGTGACTGAGTGAGTGACTGAGTGAGTGAGTGGCTGACTGAGTGAGTGAGTGGCTGACTGAGTGAGTGAGTGAGTGGCTGAGTGAGTGAGTGACAGAGTGACTGAGTGAGTGACTGACAGTGACTGAGTGACTTACTGACTGAGTGACTGACTGAGTGACTGAGTGGGTGACTGAGTGACTGTGTGATTGACTGAGTGAGTGACTGTGATTGACTGAGTGAGTGACTGACTGAGTGGGTGACTGAGTGACTGAGTGAGTGACTGACTGAGTGACTAGGTGACCGAGGCGTTGCTGTTGGCGGTCTATCCGGGCCAAGGCCGTAGCCGTGGAGTCAACATTGGGGGGGGGCAAATCTCCCAGGGGTCCTGGGGGTCCCAACCCAGAAAAAAATATCTACATTTGAAAACTCATTTCCTGGCCAAAATATGAAAAAAAAATGCACTAACACATGGGATGGACTTTTTATTTATGTTTTACAATGTCTAATAACGTATTGTATTACATTGCTCTGTTTTAACTTGTTATTGATCATTGTTTTTTTACCCTTCCATCTGGCAATAAAACTGACACCTTTTTTTTACAAGGAGTCATGTTTGCATAGACTACAATACCTGCAGTCATAATGCAAACACAAAACACAACTCTGATAATGTATGTGCACTGTCCTTGAAGTTGATTGGTCCACACCCGAGACAGCTTTCCTTAGAGTCTAGTCTCACATGGTGTTGGACCAGATGACATCAAAAGGCGCACAACTCAAAGACAATGCACCATCAGAGTATGAGAGCTCGGGTAAGCATTTACACCATTGGAACTTCAGGGACAGTGCACATTATCAGAGTTATGTTTTTTGTTTGCATTACGACTGCAGGTATTGTGGTCTATGCAAACATGACTCCTTGTAAAAAAGGTGTCAGTTTTGTTGCCAGATGGAAGGGTGAAAAAACAATTATCATATTTTTTACTCCAATGGTGTAAATGCTTACCATTTCTTGTTTCATTGTAAGTAATGGCAGAGATTAGGGATTCATAAAGTACAACCATAACCACAATCATATAAACAGAAATCTACACATTGATTTATATGAAGGCAAGTCCAGATATTGTGGCCAAGGTTTAGCAAATTGTTTTTATTTACATCGCATAGCAATAACATTTTTCTTTATAGCAATATATTGGGGGGGACATTTTGAGCATATTTGAATATTGGGGGGAGAGGTGTTATAATTAGGACAGAGGTCGCAAACGGGTTTTGATTCCTTACCCGTACCTGGCCGCACCAGGGTCGCAAACGGGTACCCGTACCCGGCCGTACCCGTACCCTACACCCGTACCCGGCCGGGTATCGGGTACCTGATTGCGACCTCTGGGATGAAGCCACGTTGCAGGCGCGGGTGGGTTGATTCTAGGAACTTGAATTGTGAGAAGAGACAAGACGTTGGGAAATGAGTGACAAACGGTGACTCACCAGTGACTCACGGCCTACCCGGCCGCACCAGGGTCGAAAACGGGTACCCGTACCCGGCCGGGTACGGGTAGCCGGGTATCGGGTAGGGTACGGGTATCGGGTACCCGATTGCGACCTCTGAATTAGGGTCTTGATGCACGACCCGGTCGACGCAGCAGCAGCTCTTCCCATCGGGGGTCTGTTTGGCAACCTCCGTTCGCGTGCCACCAGAAACTTTCCCCCGCGGTGTTGCTACTTGGGTCGGTCGCAGGGGGAGCCGAGGCCGGATCGTGGAATCCGATCATTTGTCATTTCCGAGCCAGCGGCATGCCACACGTCACGGGAGTGAAACATTCGCAAACATAATCGATGATTTGCAACGTCCGTAATGATTGTGTCAATCAGCTGCCCGATCATTCATGGACCCCTAAGACAAAGATCCCCCGTATAGCCTTAGCAGGCTGTTGGGGCAAGTGCTGTTAGCGAGCAGCACCTATGAAGGCCGGAACAGCACACGAGGGTGGCCAGCACCACCCCCGGCCGCCTTTGTCTCCCCAGTGGCAATGTTCACACGTCACACCAGGTACTCATTTGAGGCTGAGTCGATCTAGGGGAGGCACAAGAACGGTTCAGGTAATCGTCACTTGGTGTTGGCCGTGAGCGGGAATCGAACTCGGATGGCCGAGTTCGTAGCGCAGTGTAGCGCTAACCACTCCACCACCGCTCCCCCCACCACACACACACATTCCGTATATAATGTAACATTTATAATATATAATAACAAGCATCATTTGGTGTATATATATATCTCAATAAACACATTTGCGTAAACATGTTTTATGTACATAATAATTTCTTTATACATAATACTCCGATCAAAGTGCTGTATTCATTTAATGCTTACACAAGGTAAAGGTTCAGCCCTGCAGGTGCCAGCTCACGCCACCGCTTGCAGAAGCCGCCCGGCTAGGCGGCTGAGCATGGCAAGAGCTGTCAGTACCCACACTTCACCCCACCACCACCACCACCAATACCGCATGTGACGAACCTGCCCACACACACTGCAGCGTGGTGAGCCCATTTGTGTGGTGGTGGTCGTGGTGGTTGTCGTGGTGTTGGTTTTTGTGGTGGTCGTGTGTGTTGGTGGTGGTAGTGTTGGAGGACTTGGTGGTGGTCGTGGTGGTACTGATTGTGTTGGTGGTGGTCGTGGTGGTGGTAGTGGTTTTGGTGGTCGTGGTGGTTGTGGTGGTTGTGGTGGTGGTTGTCGTCGTGGTGGTTGTGGTGGTCGTGGTGGTGGTTGTAGTCGTGGTGGTGGTGGTATTGGTGGTCTTGGTGGTGGTGGTAGTGTTTGTGGTCTTGGTTGTTGGTGGTGCTGGTCGTGGTTTGGTGGTGGTCGTGGTGGTCGTGGTTGTAGTGGTTGTGGTGCTCGTGGTGGCCGTGGTGTTGGTGGTGGCGGTTGTGGTGGGTGTCTACTGGACATCCGTGAAACTGCTGAACATCTGTGAAACAAACATCTCCACTATAAATAAACATTCCGATTCAGGTGGTGGTGGGGGGGGGGGAGTGGGTTGGGGTTCCCAGAAACCTGCCCCCAAATTGAACTCCAGGACGACGAGGGAGAGGGCCTTTGCACTGTTCGGCCGCACCACCCGTTATTTATTTATTTATTTGCCCCCCCCCCAAAAAATCCATTTCCATTTTCCGCCATCGGCGTCCAATAGGGGGCGCTCACAGCTAGCAGAGCACGGCCCCGTGGAAGCGGATATACAGAACTACCACCGAGACCTCGGTCTGTCTCCCAGTGACGCTCTGGTACAGACAGAACGGCCCGCGGAAGTGGACATCACAGAGTTACCACCGAGATCTCCGTCTGTCTCCCAGTGACGCTCTGGTACAGGCAAAACGGCCCGCGGAAGTGGATATCACAGAGTTACCACCGAGATCTCCGTCTGTCTCCCAGTGACGCTCTGGTACAGGCAGAACGGCCCCGCGGAAGTGGATATCACAGAGTTACCACCGAGATCTCCGTCTGTCTCCCAGTGACGCTCTGGTACAGGCAAAACGGCCCGCAGAAGTGGATATCACAGAGTTACCACCGAGATCTCCGTCTGTCTCCCAGTGACGCTCTGGTACAGGCAGAACGGCCCCGCGGAAGTGGATCTCACAGAGTTACCACCGAGATCTCCGTCTGTCTCCCAGTGACGCTCTGGTACAGGCAGAACGCCCCGCGAAAGTGGATCTCACAGAGTTACCACCGGGATCTCCGTCTGTCTCCCAGTAACGCTCTGGTACAGGCAGAACGGCCCCGCGAAAGTGGATATCACAGAGTTACCACCGAGATCTCCGTCTTCTTTAATTGTCGGCCTGATCCACACGCGGTGGCTCGCGAAAACGAATGTCGCAGAGTTACGACTGAGGATCCCGTCCTCTTGAAGTAGTCAGCTCTGGTCCACACGCGCACACACGCACATACACGCGCACGCACGCACGCACGCGCACACACACGCACACGCACGCGCACACACACACGCACACGCGCACACACACGCGCACACGCGCGCACACACACGCGCACACGCACGCACACGCACACACGCACACACACCAGCACGCAAACACACCAGCACGCATGCGCACACCCACGCACGCACACACACACGCACACACACACACGCACACACACGCACGCACACACACACGCACGCACACACACACACGCACACACACACACACACGCACGCACACGCACACACACGCACGCACACGCACGCACACACACACGCACGCACACACACACACGCACATACACGCGCACGCACGCACGCACGCGCACACACACGCACACGCACGCGCACACACACACGCACACGCGCACACACACGCGCACACGCGCACACACACGCGCACACGCGCGCACACACACGCGCACACGCACGCACACGCACACACGCACACACACCAGCACGCAAACACACCAGCACGCATGCGCACACCCACGCACGCACACACACACGCACACACACACACGCACACACACGCACGCACACACACACGCACGCACACACACACACGCACACACACACACACACGCACGCACACGCACACACACGCACGCACACGCACGCACACACACACGCACGCACATACACGCGCACGCACGCACGCGCACACACACGCACACGCACGCGCACACACACACGCACACGCGCACACACACGCGCACACGCGCACACACACGCGCACACGCGCGCACACACACGCGCACACGCACGCACACGCACACACGCACACACACCAGCACGCAAACACACCAGCACGCATGCGCACACCCACGCACGCACAGACACACGCACGCACACACACACACACGCACACACACGCACGCACACGCACGCACACACACACCAGCACGCACACACACACCAGCACGCACACGCACACACGCACACACGCGCACACACACACGCTCACGCAGTAGGGGGCAGCACTTGCCCTGCCACCGAGGAATTGTCATCGCTCGTTGCGTGCCGCTCAAACCGAAACTTGAATTTGTCAACAACGAAAAGTTCGCAGCATCAGCGGGAATTTCGCGAATTTGCGTGCAAAAATGAAACTCGATGAGCTCAGGGTGTTTTAGGGAAGTCATTGGTGACCAGGCTGAAACCAGAAAGTGCGTAGAGGGGAGGAGATTGAGATGAGAGGGGAGAGGTAGGAGAGTGCGTGGAGGGGAGTGGAGTGAGATGAGAGGGGAGAGGTAGGAGAGTGCGTGGAGGGGAGTGGAGTGAGATGAGAGGGGAGAGGCGGGAGAATGCATGGAGGGGAGTGGAGTGAGATGAGAGGGGAGAGGTAGGAGAGTGCGTGGAGTGAGATGAGAGGTAGGAGAGTGCGTAGAGTAGAGTGAGATGAGAGTGAGAGTTCAGAGTCCATGAAGGTCGTGATCGTGAATTTGCCCCGGGGCTTTGCTTTCGGGTGACCCCCCCCCCCCCCCCCACGGTGTGGGGAGGGAGTGGAGGCAGCAGCAGCAGCAGCAGGAGCAGCAGCAGCAGCAGGAGCAGCAGCAGCAGGAGCAGCAGCAGGAGGAGGATGGAGCGAGGCCTCATCCCGGTCGCCACGCCGAGGTGCCCGCGTTGGCCTGGGCCAGCGAGCAGTAGTCAGAGCCGGCGGCGAGCGGCCCGGCACACGTGACCACCGTGACCGCCACCGCCGCCGCCGCCACGACGACCACGGAGGCAGCGGACGGAGGAGGAGGTGGTGGTGGTGGAGCCGTGGCGATGGAGGGGATGAGCGGTTGTCGGGCGGCCTCCGAGGATTGGCACTCGGAGATGATCTCCACGCTGGAGAAGATCTCCTCCGGCACGCGGCACGTGGGGGCCTGGCACGAGAGGCAGGAACGTGCGCTCGGAATCGCGTCGTGGTGGCCGGGAGATGTTGACTACCTCGCCCGGCGCGCAGGAGGTCGTTCAAGTTCAAGTTCATTTATTAGGTATAGCCCTAATAATTGGTTTTTTACCCTTCTATCTGGCAACAAAACGGACACCTTTGTTGCCAGATAGAAGGGTAAAAAAAACAATTATCATATTTTTACTGGCAAATGAGGTTCCCATAGGTATATCCCTGTGAGCCATTCGGCTCTTGAATCGGGTGCAACCGCAACAAACAAAAAACATGAACAAAAAACATTTTAAAGTGAATATGTGACTAAGTGCAAACAGAAAATCCAAGAAAAGACAGCAAAATATTGCAGAAAAAAACACCGTGGGTTCGATCACAGCCATGAGGCCTGCTGTGTGGTGTTTAGAGTCTGCGTGTCTCCTTCTGGCCCTGTGGTCGCGTGGATGTTTCTCGCTTTGGGTCCTACGGTGTTTCCCCTCCACATGTATAATGTTACATCACCTGTTTAGAGTTTTTGGCTGCTGCTGCTGCTGCTATAAATGTAATTTGTAATAACCAATGGGCCTTAGCTGATAAATACTAAAAATACTCCCTTCGTCTTACAGTTTCAATCAAAATTTTTTTTTAATGAGGACCCAGAGAAAAATCTACACGACCAGGGGAAGAGAACGAGGATACGCAAACTCCAAATATACAGCAGCAGCAAGCGTCAGGGTTGAGATCGAACCCGCGACCTCCTGCATAACAGGCGAGGGAGTTAACATCTCCCCATCGCGGCGCCCCTAATAATAATATAGTAGTGATAACGATAGACAGAGAGGACGACTCAGAGAGAGAGAGGACGACTCAGAGAGAGAGAGGACGACTCAGAGAGAGAGGACGACTCAGAGAGAGAGAAAGGAAGACTCAGAGAGAGAGAAAGGACGACTCAGACAGAGACAGAGACAGAGAGAGTGAGAGGACGACTCAGAGAGAGAGACAGAGAGGACGACTCTACCAGTCGAGTCGTTACCTGTGCGAGCTGCTGCTCCTTGCCGACTTTGAGGTCGAGGAGGAGGTCGCAGGGCCCAGGGACTCGAGGCCAAACGTGGGCCTTGACCATCCTGCGTGGCACGCGCACACAGACAAAGGTCCCCCGTGTAGCCTTCACAGACTGCTGGGGCAAGTGCTGCGAGCAGCACCTGTGAAGGCCGGCACGGCACACGAGCGGGTGGGTGGCCAGCACCACGCCCGGCCGTCTTTGTCTCCCCAGTGGCGATGTTTCCTGTGCACTAGGTACTCATTTGAGGCTGAGTCGACCTAGGCGAAGCGCAGGGCCTGGTTCAGATGAACCGCCACTGATGGTGCTGCTGGCCATGAGCGGGGATCGAACTCGGCGCGTCGGGTTCGCAGCAGAGGTCGCAACCGGGTACCCCCGATACCCGTACCCTACCCGATACCCAATACCCGTACCCTACCCGATACCCGATACCCGTACCCTACCCGATACCCGTACCCTACCCGATACCCGATACCCATACCCTACCCGATACCCGATACCCGTACCCTACCCGATACCCGGCTACCCGTACCCGGCCGGGTACGGGTACGGGTAGGCCGTGAGTCACTGGTGAGTAACTGTTTGTCACTCATTTCCCAACGTCTTGTCTCTTCTCACAATTAAAGTTCCTAGAATCAACCCACCCGCGCCTGCAACATGGCTTCATCCCAGAGGTCGCAATCGGGTACCCAATACCCGTACGCTACCCGTACCCGGCCGGGTACGGGTACGTACGGGTACGGCCGGGTACGGGTAAGGAATCAAAACCCGTTTGCGACCTCTGGTTCGTAGCGCAGCGCGCTGACCACACAGGCGCCGTGCGTTTCGTATCGTGCACCTAGCCTGGCACAGGCGCCGTGACGATGTCACCACTGGTCACGTGCTTGTGGAGGAAGAGCCACACAGCGGAGTGTGGGCTAATCTCCATCTGTTCCACACTCCCTTCCCAACCCTGTGGGTGGGCGACTGGTGAGGTGGTGTGTGGGTGGTGAGGTGGGTGGTGAGGTGGTGTGTGGGTGGTGAGGTGAGGTGAGTGGTGGTGAGGTGGTGTGTGGGTGGTGAGGTGTGGGTGGTGAGGAGGTGTGTGTGTGTGGTGAGGTGAGTGGTGAGGAGTTGTGTGGGTGGTGAGGTGAGTGGTGAGGAGTTGTGTGGGTGGTGAGGTGGGTGGTGAGGTGGTGTGTGGGTGGTGAGGAGTTGAGTGTGGGTGGTGAGGCGAGTGGTGAGGAGTGGTGAGGTGAGTGGTGAGGTGGTGTGTGGGTGGTGAGGTGTGTGGGTGGTGTGTGGGTGGTGAGGTGAGTGGTGAGGAGTGGTGAGGTGAGTGGTGAGGAGTTGTGTGGGTGGTGAGGTGTGTGGTGAGGTGGTGTGTGGGTGGTGAGGTGAGTGGTGAGGAGTTGTGTGTGTGGTGAGGAGTGGTGAGGTGAGTGGTGAGGAGTTGTGTGTGTGGTGAGGTGGGTGGTGAGGTGAGTGGTGAGGAGTTGTGTGTGTGGTGAGGAGTGGTGAGGTGAGTGGTGAGGAGTTGTGTGTGTGGTGAGGTGGGTGGTGAGGAGTTGTGTATGTGGTGAGGAGTGGTGAGGTGAGTGGTGAGGAGTTGTGTGTGTGGTGAGGTGGGTGGTGAGGAGTTGTGTGTGTGGTGAGGAGTTGTGTGTGTGGTGAGGTGAGTGGTGAGGAGTGGTGAGGTGAGTGGTGAGGAGAGTGGTGAGGAGTTGTGTGTGTGGTGAGGTGAGTGGTGAGGAGTGGTGAGGTGAGTGGTGAGGTGAGTGGTGAGGAGTTGTGTGTGTGGTGAGGTGTGTGATGAGGAGTTGTGTGTGTGGTGAGGAGTTGTTGTGTGGTGAGGTGAGTGGTGAGGAGTGGTGAGGTGAGTGGTGAGGAGTGGTGAGGAGTGGTGAGGTGAGTGGTGAGGCGAGTGGTGAGGAGTTGTGTGTGTGTGGTGAGGAGTTGTGTGAGTGGTGAGGCGAGTGGTGAGGTGAGTGTTGAGGAGTTTGTGTGGGTGGTGAGGTGGTGTGTGGGTGGTGAGAAGTTTGTGTGTGTGGTGAGGTGGTGTGTGGGTGGTGAGGTGGGTGGTGAGGTGGTGTGTGGGTGGTGAGGAGTGGTGAGGTGAGTGGTGAGTAGGTGAGTGGGTGATGAGGAGTTGTGTGGGTGGTGAGGTGGGTGGTGAGGAGTTGTGTGGGTGGTGGTGAGGCGAGTGGTGAGGCGAGTGGTGAGGCGAGTGGTGAGGTGAGTGGTGAGGTGAGTGGTGAGGCGAGTGGTGAGGCGAGTGGTGAGGTGAGTGGTGAGGTGAGTGGTGAGGCGAGTGGTGAGGCGAGTGGTGAGGCGAGTGGTGAGGAGTGGTGAGGCGAGTGGTGAGGCGAGTGGTGAGGCGAGTGGTGAGGCGAGTGGTAGTGAGTGGTGAGGCGAGTGGTGAGGAGTGGTGAGGTGAGTGGTGAGGCGAGTGGTGAGGCGAGTGGTGAGGCGAGTGGTAGTGAGTGGTGAGGCGAAGTGGTGAGGTGAGTGGTGAGGCGAGTGGTGAGGCGAGTGGTGAGGCGAGTGGTGAGGTGAGTGGTGAGGTGAGTGGTGAGGTGAGTGGTGAGGTGAGTGGTGAGGTGAGTGGTGAGGAGTGGTGACGCGAGTGGTGAGGCGAGTGGTGAGGTGAGTGGTGAGGTGAGTGGTGAGGAGTGGTGACGCGAGTGGTGAGGTGAGTGGTGAGGTGAGTGGTGAGGTGAGTGGTGAGGAGTGGTGACGCGAATGGTGACGCGAATGGTGAGGCGAGTGGTGAGGTGAGTGGTGAGGTGAGTGGTGACGCGAGTGGTGAGGTGAGTGGTGAGGTGAGTGGTGAGGCGAGTGGTGAGGAGTGGTGACGCGAGTGGTGAGGCGAGTGGTGAGGTGAGTGGTGAGGTGAGGTGAGTGGTGAGGTGAGTGGTGAGGTGAGTGGTGAGGCGAGTGGTGAGGTGAGTGGTGAGGTGAGTGGTGAGGCGAGTGGTGAGGTGAGTGGTGAGGTGAGTGGTGAGGTGAGTGGTGAGGTGAGTGGTGAGGTGAGTGGTGAGGTGAGTGGTGAGGCGAGTGGTGAGGTGAGTGGTGAGGTGGGTGGTGAGGTGAGTGGTGAGGTGAGTGGTGAGGTGAGTGGTGAGGCGAGTGGTGAGGTGAGTGGTGAGGTGAGTGGTGAGGTGAGTGGTGAGGCGAGTGGTGAGGCGAGTGGTGAGGCGAGTGGTGAGGCTGGGTGGTGAGGTGGGTGGTGAGGCGAGTGGTGAGGCGAGTGGTGAGGCGAGTGGTGAGGTGAGTGGTGAGGCGAGTGGTGAGGCGAGTGGTGAGGTGAGTGGTGAGGTGGGTGGTGAGGTGGGTGGTGAGGCGAGTGGTGAGGCGGGTGGTGAGGTGGGTGGTGAGGCGAGTGGTGAGGCGAGTGGTGAGGTGAGTGGTGAGGTGAGTGGTGAGGTGAGTGGTGAGGCGAGTGGTGAGGCGAGTGGTGAGGTGAGTGGTGAGGTGAGTGGTGAGGCGAGTGGTGAGGCGAGTGGTGAGGCGAGTAGTGAGGTGAGTGGTGAGGTGAGTGGTGAGGTGAGTGGTGAGGCGAGTGAGTGGTGAGGTGGGTGGTGAGGTGAGTGGTGAGGTGAGTGGTGAGGTGAGTGGTGAGGTGAGTGGTGAGGTGGGTGGTGAGGTGGGTGGTGAGGCGAGTGGTGAGGAGTTTGTGTGAGTAGTGAGGTGAGTGGTGAGGCGAGTGGTGAGGCGAGTGGTGAGGCGAGTGGTGAGGCGAGTGGTGAGGCGAGTGGTGAGGCGAGTGGTGAGGCGAGTGGTGAGGCGAGTGGTGAGGTGAGTGGTGAGGCGAGTGGTGAGGCGAGTGGTGAGGCGAGTGGTGAGGCGAGTGGTGAGGCGAGTGGTGAGGCGAGTGGTGAGGCGAGTGGTGAGGCGAGTGGTGAGGTGAGCGGTGAGGTGAGCGGTGAGGTGAGCGGTGAGGTGAGCGGTGAGGCGAGCGGTGAGGCGAGCGGTGAGGCGAGCGGTGAGGCGAGCGGTGAGGTGAGCGGTGAGGTGAGCGGTGAAGCGAGCGGTGAGGCGAGCGGTGAGGCGAGCGGTGAGGCGAGCGGTGAGGTGAGCGGTGAGGTGAGTGGTGAGGTGAGTGGTGAGGTGAGCGGTGAGGTGAGCGGTGAGGCGAGCGGTGAGGCGAGTGGTGAGGCGAGCGGTGAGGCGAGCGGTGAGGCGAGCGGTGAGGTGAGCGGTGAAGCGAGTGGTGATGAGTGGTGAGGCGAGTGGTGAGGAGTGGTGAGGCGAGTGGTGAGGAGTGGTGAGGAGTTGTGAGGTGAGTGTTGAGGAGTTTGTGTGAGTGGTGAGGCGAGTGGTGAGGCGAGTGGTGAGGTGAGTGGTGAGGTGAGTGGTGAGGCGAGTGGTGAGGCGAGTGGTGAGGCGAGTGGTGAGGCGAGTGGTGAGGAGTGGTGAGGAGTTGTGAGGTGAGTGTTGAGGAGTTTGTGTGAGTGGTGAGGCGAGTGGTGAGGCGAGTGGTGAGGTGAGTGGTGAGGCGAGTGGTGAGGCGAGTGGTGAGGCGAGTGGTGAGGTGAGTGGTGAGGTGAGTGGTGAGGCGAGTGGTGAGGCGAGTGGTGAGGTGAGTGGTGAGGTGAGTGGTGAGGCGAGTGGTGAGGAGTGGTGAGGAGTTGTGAGGTGAGTGTTGAGGAGTTTGTGTGAGTGGTGAGGTGAGTGGTGAGGAGTTTGTGTGAGTGGTGAGGCGAGTGGTGAGGAGGTGAGCTGTACCATCTGTACTTGACGCCGAGGCACAGGATGAGGAAGACGAGGATGACCGGAGCGACGAGCGCCATCGCGACGAGCGGCTCCTGCCCCTCCTCATCCTCGTGCGTCCGCGCTGTACACACACGCAAAGACAAAGGTCCCCCGTGTAGCCTTGCCGGACTGCTGGGGCAAGTGTCCCATACTGGGGGCGCGCGTGTGACAAAGAGCTTGCTAGCACTTCGGATTTATTTGCTGCTCCCGCATCAGAGGGCTGTAGGTCTCTCCGCCACTGGGCGCCAATGTGGCCGGGAGATGTTGACTACCTCGCCTGGTGTGCAGGAGGTCGTGGGTTCGATTCCCGACCCTGACGCCTGCTGCTGTATATTTGGAGTTTGCGTGCCTCTCTCTCTCATCATCATCATCACGGTGGCTAGGAGATGTTGACTACCTCGCCTGGTGTGCAGGAGGTCGTGGGTTCGATCCCGACCCTGATGCCTACTGCTGTATATTTGGAGTTTGTGTGTTTCTCTCTCTCTCATCATCACGGTGGCTAGGAGATGTTGACTACCTCGCCTGGTGTACAGGAGGTCGTGGGTTCGATTCCCGACCCTGACGCCTGCTGCTGTATATTTGTAGTTTGTGTGTCTCTCTCTCTCCTTGGCGCAGGTGGATTTTTCTCCAGGCCCTTCGGCGTTTCCCTCCCACATTATTAGTCAACGTCACACCTTCAGACAATGTAGCTGCCATCACCATCACCACTCTCATCACCACTATCATTAGCATAACCATTAACATTACCGCCACCACTATCATCATCACCACTATCATCACCATCACCACTATCATCATCACCACTATCATCACCATCACCACTATCATCATCACCACTATCATCACCATCACCACTATCATCATCACCACTCTCATCACCATCACCACTATCATCACCATCACCACTGTCATCACCATCACCACTGTCATCACCATTACCATTACCACCACCACCACTATCATCATCACCACTATCATCACCATCACCACTATCATCACCATCACCACTATCATCACCATCACCACTCTCATCACCACTATCATTACCACCACCACCACCACTATCATCACCATCACCACTATCATCATCACCACTATCATCACCATCACCACTCTCATCACCATCACCACTATCATCATCACCACTATCATCACCATCACCACTATCATCACCATCACCACTATCATCACCATCACCACTCTCATCACCACTATCATCATCACCACTATCATCACCATCACCACTCTCATCACCACTCTCATTAGCATCACCACTCTCATCACCGTCATCACCATTATCATTACCATCACCACTCTCATCACCATCACCACTGTCATCACCATTATCATTACCACCACCACCACCGCCACCACCGTCACCTGGGATCACGAGGTGCTGCCACTCGCTGCGGTGATCCCAGCACTTCTTGGTGTCCCCCATGCCGTCCCAGCTGTCACACAGCAGGGCCTGCACCGCGATGTGGTGCACCTTCTCATTGTCCATGAACGCCATGGGTTCCTTCCTCTCGATACAAATCTACAGGATGATGATGAGGAGGAGGAGGAGGAGGAGGTGACGAGGTGAGCTTCATCTTCAACATTCAACCACACTCTGAGATTCTTTCGGTCAAGTCGCGTCGATAGGAAAATAAAGAAGTAATTGAGCGCGACGTTTCGATCGCGACAACGAGCGATCATGCCTCTGTGACGAGGCATTAGAGAACACATTCCTCCTGCGGAGGGAGCTGGTAGGAACGTTGGGTTGCTCGGTCAATGTCCTGCAGGGTCAACGGCGGCGTGGTGTATTCCGCAAATATGCCCGACTGTGAGGGCGGGCACAAGCCGGCGTGAGTAGGTGAAACGTTGAGTTTTATAAGGGCACCACGGGGTGACCAGCCCCTCCCCACCCAGCCCCTTCCCCACCCTCCCCACCCTCCCCACCCAGCCCCTTCCCCACCCTCCCCACCCAGCCCCTCCCCACCCTCCCCACCCAGTCCCTCCCCACCCCCTCCTCACCCTCCCCGACCTACCCACCCAGCCCCTCCCTCCCCACCCAGCCCCTCCCTGCACGACGGACGGACACAATAATCCCGTGTGGGCTGGTGTAACCAGGTTACTACCAGTATTAAACACTCTATTGTGTTCTAGATTTGAAGCTTTCATGACTGCAAGGATTCATACTCTTAGTTCTTTCGGTACCTACTCTATTGTGTATCCATTATGTAGTGTTTTGAGTGAGATCGCATGAACATGAATGCGCGTCAATCTCGACCTGAAGTTTGCGTGACTGCAGGGACCCATACTCTTTGGCTCTTTCGGTAAAGTCACGTAGCTAAGACAATAAAACAAATTAAACCACGACGTTTCGGGCACAACACAAGCGTCCGTCATCACGTGGGACAGATACAACTGCTGACGTAGGAGAGAGAGAGAAAGCTGCTGCAACAAGAGTTTATATCGGGATTTTTAGTGGGCTCAACCCAATGCTAAGTGGCCGGAGTTTAGAAAAGGAATTTGTACGTAAATGTAAATGTGAGAGATTAGCGTGTCAATGTGTAATAAACCCACTCCGGACGATATCGTATTCTCTTGTCTTGTCTTTATTCGTTACTTTTCCCCGTTCACAGCTCTCTCTCTCGGGGTTCCTTTTTCCTGTTACTCCAGTTACTCCCATTACTCTCGTTACTCTAGTTACTCCCGTTACTCGAGCGTGGCGTTCGCTCCCTCGCACCGCTGGCTAACGGCGTTCGGGAGACAGCCTCCGGCCTGCCGCGTGGCCGCTTGCGTGTCCCGGAGGCACAAGACATAGTCTCTCCTTCAAGCTCTTCACACTGACCCCGAGCTGTCTCTCTCCACCCCTTATACCACCTGGCTCACCTGATGCCACGCAGCCAATCATAAGCCTCACCCTTGGAACCTTCTAGATGTTGCTGTACAGCCCCAGGGCCACGCCCTTGGCTCGACGTCCCATTGGCTGCGGGCTGAGGCCGGCAGAGCCAATCACCATCGCCCAGTTACCCCTCATCTCATATTACAAATGTGAGAGAAGGCCCCCAGCCACCGGAGGTGCTGGAGATCCTGTTCCTGGGCTGCCTCACCCAACGGTCAGCGACTATTTCTCCTACGTCAGCAGTTGCCCTGCTGTATCTGTCCCACCTGATGACAGACGCTTGCGTTACGATCGAAACTGTCGTGATTTATTTTATACTGGTAGGAACCTCCTGGTTGCACCAGCCCACATGGGATTGTTGTGTCCGTCCGTCGTGCAGGGAGGGGCTGGGTGGGGAGAGGAGGGTGGGGAGGGGCTGGGTGGGGAGGGTGGGGAGGGGATCGGTGGGGAGGGTGGGGAGGGTGGGGCTGGGTGGAGAGGGTGGGGCTGGGTGGGGAGGGAGGGAGGGTGGGGCTGGGTGGGGAGGGAGGGAGCGGCTGGGTGGGGAGGGTGGGGAGGGGAGGGGCTGGGTGGGGAGGGTGGAGCTGGGTGGGGAGGGGCTGGTCACCCCGTGGTGCCCTTATAAAACTCAACGTTTAACCTACTCACGCCGGCTTGTGCCCGCCCTCACAGTCGAGCATATTTTCGGAATACACCACGCCGCCGTTGACCCTGGCCATTGACCGAGCAACCCAACGTTCCTACCAGCTCCCTCCGCAGGAATGTGTTGTTCTAACCTACGTGACTTTGCCGAAAGAACCAAATGGCATAAATGCACGTCTTATGGGACTGTCTTTGCCGGTATCGAACCTTTATCATGGCTCCAAAGAAACAGGGGACATCGTGATGTAGCTGCTGTTCACCCCGAGCTATAAAAGCTCTGATACGCGTGGCATTGTCTGTGTACTGGCCGCATTTTGGCGTTCTTTGGTTCAACACCGGTGGTGAGATTTGGCCACATAAAAGGCCGTCTCTGATGTAGGCCAATCAGTTTCAAAGACAAATGCATCGACTAGATCTCGTCAGAGCGTGCTCATTGGCACGTTAGTCACAAGTACTGTGTGTGTGGTGAACGCAGACTTGATTTCTTCTCGCAAAGAGTTTGATATATTTGGCGTTGGGACGTCCTAACGCAACTCCGGTTTCATTGCCAGAAAGGGGTAAAGCCTATTCTTATTTTACTGTTCTATAACGCCCCTGTTCATGATGATGCTGATGCTGATAATGGCTGCTGCTGATCATGCTGCCGATGCTGCCGATAATGATGGTCGTAATGATGACAGTGATGATGGTATTGGTGATGGGTGACAGCTACTGCTGATGATGCTGATAACGGCTGCTGCTAATGATGCTTGCCGATAGTAAGGGTAGTAATGACAGTGATGATGACACTGCCGATGATGCTGCTGCTGCTGATGATCTTGATAACGGCTGCTGAAGATGGTGCTAATGATGCTGATGATGGTGCTGATGGTGATGGTGCTGATGATGATGCTGCTGATAATGATGGTGCTGATGATGATGCTGATGATGATGGTGGTGCTGACGATGGTGATAGTGCTGACGATGATGTTGCTGATGATTATGGTGCTGATGATTATTATGCTGATGATGATGCTGCTGATGGTGACGGTACTGACGATGATGGTGCTGATGATGATGCTGCTGATGATGACCGTGCTGACGATGATGGTGCTGATGATGATGGTGCTGATGATGATGGTGCTGATGATGATGGTGCTGATGATGATGGTGCTGATGATGATGGTGCTGATGATGATGGTGCTGATGATGGTGGTGCTGACGATGATGGTGATGGTGCTGATGATGGTGGTGCTGACGATGATGGTGATAGTGCTGATGATGATGGTGATGGTGCTGATGATGGTGCTGATGATGATGGTGATGGTGCTGACGATGATGGTGGTGCTGACGATGGTGATAGTGCTGACGATGATGGTGATGGTGCTGATGATGGTGATGATGCTGATGATGCTGATGATGATGCTGATGATGATGCTGATGATGGTGATGACGGTGCTGACGATGGTGATGCTGATGATGGTGATGCTGCTGGTGGTGATGCTGACGATGATGGTGATGATGCTGATGCTGATGATGGTGCCGAGGATGGTGGTGGTGATGATGATGGTGGTGGTGATGACGATGATGTTGCTGATGATGGTGATGCTGCTGCTGATGCTGACGATGGTGGTGTTGCCGACGATGGTGGTGGTGCTGATGATGGTGGTGGTGCCGAGGATGGTGGTGATGCTGCTGCCGATGATGATGATGATGCTGCTGACGATGATGATGGTGATGCTGCTGATGATGGTGGTGCTGCTGATGATGATGATGCTGCTGATGGTGATGCTGACGATGGTGGTGGTGGTGCTGCCGATGATGATGGTGATGCTGCTGCCGATGATGATGATGATGACGATGGTGGTGCTGATGATGATGGCGTGCTCCTCACCGTGCCCACGCGGTCCGTCATGCACACGTTGTACACCAGGCTGCTCGGTAGTCTCGAGATGGGCGTCAGGTCGGGAACTTCCCAACTCACCACCAAGTTCCCATGGCTGTCGTTCTTCAGGGAGAGATTCCCAGGCCTCGGGGCTTGGACTGGGATACAAAGGTGGACGGGAAAATCACATTAGGGGTGCCGCTGAGACCCGCATAGACGCACCCAGAGTGAGCCGGGCTCGGTTGGAGTGAGGTGGTCGTCTCAGCCTGGCAAGGAGATGTTGACTACCTCGCCTGGTGTGCAGGAGGTCGTGGGTTCGATCCCGACCCTGACGATGCCTGCTGCTGTATATTTGGAGTTTGTGTCTCTCTCATCATCATCATCACGGTGGCTAGGAGATGTTGACTACCTCGCCTGGTGTGCAGGAGGTCGTGGGTTCGATCCCGACCCTGACGATGCCTGCTGCTGTATATTTTGAGTTTGTGTCTCTCTCATCATCATCATCACGGTGGCTAGAAGATGTTGACTACCTCGCCTGGTGTGCAGGAGGTCGTGGGTTCGATCCCGACCCTGACGATGCCTGCTGCTGTATATTTGGAGTTTGTGTCTCTCTCATCATCATCATCACGGTGGCTAGAAGATGTTGACTACCTCGCCTGGTATGCAGGAGGTCGTGGGTTCGATCCCGACTCTGACGTCTGCTGCTGTATATTTGGAGTTTGTGTTTCTCTCATCATCATCATCACGGTGGCTAGGAGATATTGACTACCTCGCCTGGTGTGCAGGAGGTCGTGGGTTCGATCCTGACCCTGACAACGCCTGCTGTATATTTGGAGTTTGTGTCTCTCTCTCATCATCATCATCACGGTGGCTAGGAGATGTTGACTACCTCGCCTGGTGTGCAGGAGGTCGTGGGTTCGATCCTGACTCTGACGATGCCTGCTGCTGTATATTTGGAGTTTGTGTCTCTCTCATCATCATCATCATCACGGTGGCTAGGAGATGTTGACTACCTCGCCTGGTGTGCAGGAGGTCGTGGGGGGGGGGGGGTGGTGGGGATGTGGGGTTGGGGGGGTGAGAACATCGTCTGTGTGTGCCCGTACTCAGTCTTCTGGCCGGCAGCGTGCGGTAGACGGGTCGCACCCTCGCGTCCGGACTGCTGATGAGCACCGAGAGTCCGTGGCACAAGTCCACCGGCTCGCCCACGGGGAACGAGGCCCGCAGGAGGTCCGAGTCGGGCTCCGAGGAGCCCGGGGTGGAGCCCATCACGACCTCGCCCTCTCTCACCTCCCTCACCTCCCTCACCTCGCCCTCCCTCACCTCCCTCACCTCGACCTCCCTCACCTCGCTCCATTTGTTGCGCCCGGTGGGCCTGAGGCGGGGAGTGGAGTGGGCGGGGAGAGAGTGGGGGAGTGAGTGAGTGAGTGAGGAGTGGGGGAGTGATTGAGTGGGTGAGTGAGGAGTGAATGGGTGAGTTAGTGGGTGGGTGAGTGAGTGGGGAGTGAGTGAGTGAGTGGGTGAGTGAGGAGTGAATGGGTGAGTTAGTGGGTGGGTGAGTGAGTGGGGAGTGAGTGAGTGAGTGAGTGGGGAGTGAGTGAGTGAGTGAGGAGTGGGGGAGTGAGTGGGTGAGTGAGGAGTGAGTGGGTGAGTTAGTGGGTGGGTGAGTGAGTGGGGAGTGAGTGGGGAGTGAGTGCGGAGAGAGTGAGTGGGTGAGTGGGTGAGTGAGTGGGTGGGTGAGTGAGTGGGGAGTGAGTGGGGAGTGAGTGAGTGAGTGGGGATTGAGTGGGGAGAGAGTGAGTGGGTGAGTGGGGAGTGAGTGAGGAGTGAGTGAGTGAGGAGTGAGTGAGTGGATGAGTGAGTCAGTGAGGAGTGAGTGAGTGAGGAGTGAGTGAGTGGGTGGGTGAGTGAGTGGGTGAGTGAGTGAGGAGTGAGTGGAGTGGGTGGGTGAGTGAGGAGTGGGTAAGGAGTGGGTGAGGAGTGAGTGAAGAGTAGGTGAGGAGTGAGTGAGTGAGGAGTGAGTGAGTGGGTGAGTGAGTGAGTGAGTGAAGAGTGAGTGAGGAGTGAGTGAGGGGAGAGAAGGGATGCAGAGGGAGTGAGCGGGGGTGGAGGGAGTGGAGCGAGAGAGGGATAGGTGTTGTATACTAACCCTTCTTCCAAAATTGAGATTAATAATATTTGATGATATTTTTATATATTATCTTTTTACTTGTTTTTTTAATGAAGGAAACACACCAAAGCGCAGCAAACTGCAAAACACCAGGTGTTGTTAAGTAATGAACTGGAGGAGGGCTAGGATGGCAGAATTTGCAACCTTGCTTCAAGGAAAGATAAGGCCTGATGAACGGGCACATGTCACCCGTGCAGGCGGCAGAGACAGTGGGAGTGTCAGCCAGACATAGTTAAGGCAAAAAGCCCAA